TGGGCGAGTCCCCAAAGATACACACAGACAACGTATAGCGAAACCACCCCGAGACAGACAGGCTCAAACACTCAGGCTTACCTAGTTTTCATATAATGATAAAGTTACGTGTGTCACCCAAAACCTCCTTTTTTGTCCTCTTCAAATGTCTGGTTGGTGCTGATGTGGTTCACACTGAATGATAGAACTACAACAGTAAATATTACATAGATAAGTTTGAGTCAGAAATAAGTGTTTAAAACAATTATTCTAAATAGAAACCGTAAACAAAGAATTCATGTTTTACTTGTTTTCCAGTAGATAAAATAAAATCTAACCTGGAAGAAAAATACCTACCATAAATACAGATGTGTGTGTTTATTTTATTACATTTTCCTAATCCAGACAGACACACACAGACTGTTGGCATATGCTAAAGCACGAGGTCGACGGGGCTGTAAAACAAGCCTGTTCTCTTTGTCCTCCTACGCAGCACTTTGCACGCTGTGTCTATCAGATGGCGGCTCTTTATCAAGGTGTGGCTGACACTGGCTCCACACAGCTCTGTTAAACAGGAACATGCTTGGTCTGGTGCTAATAACTCTAAAAAAGCTATTTTTGTTTCATATGCAGGACAATTAAAAGCACCTTAAGCCTAGCTCATGATATTATGGAAAATGCTGTTTTAATTGTAAACCCACCTACAATATTCAATGCTATAAAGGCTCTCAAACTGCTTTGTTAACAGAAAAGTTTAGGGTCAGGTTAAGTGGCAATTACTAATCTGAGTTAAATCTAAATTAATGGCATTTCCGGAGGTGAAGATTCTCCATATCCCTTTCAGACCAAACTGATATGCGACGGTAAGAGACTCACGGTCAAAGACTTAGAAAATATTTATTGTCATTTGACACAGAGTGTGTACAAAACGAAATTTAGTTTTGTACAGCCTTCAGACAGTGAATAAACAGCAGCTTAGCAGTGAAATGATCATTTCATAAAGTGCAGCAGGGATCAAATGTGGGAGATGGTGCAAAATTAGGGTGACCAAATGTCCGTATTTCCCGGGACATATCCGTATTTCACGTCCTGTCCCGGGCGTCCCGGGTTTTTTTTAGAAAGTGAGGAAATGTCCTGATTTCACTGCGCACAACGCTCCGTGTGACGTAATCCCTGAGCCGCGTCAGTGCGGGCAGCCCTGTTCTTAATCAGAGGCTCTGTTCGAAAACCTGGGCTTCATCCTCCAAGGACGCGGTCTACCTAGACTGGATCCTTCGAAGTCCTTGAAAATAAGGAGGCCGGAAGAGTTTTGGCTGTAAATTCGAACAGGTCCTCCCTTCAGCGGGTTTTACCGCCGTATGCTCTGTTGCTTAGCAACCGTGAAAGTTGACACACAAAGCAGGAAAAGAATGAATACCGAGGTTTTCAAAACTGTTTGTTTATTTATTTATTTTAAAAAAAGTTAAAGTGAACAAAGACTACACTCATAAGAATCCAGAGTGGAATAAAGGTTCCAACCACCGGGAGCAGGAACAAATAAAATCAAATGTAATGATAGAAACCTTAGTCATTTAAATAACATGCTGCTGTCATTCTGCACATCTCTGATGTTGCTGCTATTTTCAAATATCCATTACTGTAAAAATGTCTATAGCTGCATATTGGTTATTAATTCTCCAGTTTTATATTGTTAAAAAACTTTACAGAATTAAATTTTTTATATTTTAACTCTTCCCTATTATGTTATTCTTACGGTATACATTTTTCTAAGGTCCTCATTTGTGTGACCATTTTCAATAATCTTTCTGCTGCTGTAAATTTGCCCATTGTGGGACAATAAAGGGATTTTCTATTCTATTCTATAAAAGGGGTAGAGAGATATAAGTAAATCTAAACAATGTATCTACAAAATGTATCTGCAAAATATCTAATCTTCAACAACCAAAAATACTTAGTTAAGCATATTGTGCAAAACAACAATAAAAAAATTTAACTCCTATCAGATTTATAGTCCCCGCTCTGCAGATTTATTAGAATCTGTCCTTAAATTCCAGCCAAACTCATTTACACAGTAACAGATAAAAACATTTAGATAAAACATTACCGCCACATATCTGACTCTATAACCATTAAAACAACTAGTAACAAGTAACATTTCCTCTCATCGCGGAGCAAATCCCGATGATGACACATTTGTTCTTTCAATCAACCCCCCCACCCCCCCCCCCGCCGCTCCAAGGTGTCCTGGTTTTCTCAAATGAAAATATGGTCCCCCTAGCCAAATGCACTGATATGGAAGTTCAGAGCATTGCAAATATAAATATATATGATGAAAATATGCATTATTTTGGTTTGTTATGCAGAGTCTTGATTTAAAGTTTTGAGGGTTTATATGTTGCAAATATGCAGTAGGAAAACATTTTTTTTATTTTATTTTGAGTTCTTTTTGGTTTGGTGTGATACAGAATCTGTGACCTGATTGTTTTTTTTCCCCCAACAGTTCAGCAGTCAGATGGCAGTGGGGAAAAAGCTGTTGCAGAATCTGCTGTACGTGCAGAGGATCCTGCAAAGCCTCCTCCCAGAGGGCAGCAGGGAGAGCAGTCCATGGTGGGGGTCCACCTTTCTAGGTTTTTATTCAATCAACGTATGAATTTTTCCAAGTTCCCCTCTGACAACTATCCAGACAATACTGAGAATGAAACATCCTTGTTATAGTTTAACTACCCTCACATAAAACTGAGTCTATACCACTTAGCATTGTGATAATTAACTCTTGTCTTTAACCACTATTTTCCTTATTCTTTGCTTTCTTTTACGTCACCAATGCCGCACTGATCTTTCCAAGGTTTAGCATACTGGCTCCAAAGCTATACATCAAACTATAGCTTTATGAGCAGTAGAAGTGCACCCAACAAACAAAAATGCCTGGAATCCAAAGTGTTGTTAAAACATGAATCATTTTAACAACCCTAAATGATATCTATAGCCCTGCGACAGCCTGGCGACCTGTCCAAGGTGTACCCCACCTCTCGCCCATAGACTGCCGGAGATGGGCACAGGCCCCACTGCAACCCTAACGAGAACTAAGTGGGAGAAAATTGATGAATGGATGGATGTATATCCATATTCTAGGTTTTTACAACACAGGAAGATCATTGTGCTGGTTTGCTGCTAAAATATAAATGTGAAGATTTTAAGGGTTCATATAAAAGCATTTGCATAAATATCTACTTGTGCGTATTGTTATTGCATTTCCTCTATCTTTTAACATATTTTATTTATTTTGATATGATTTCAGTGATGTAAGCCAAAGTCATATCATATTTCTTGGTTATTAAAAAAATTTGGCCCATAAACATGATTGTTCTTTAAGATGATAGAGGTCTGCTTTGTATCTTAGACTGGCTGTTAGCTGAAGCTGTAGATGGTAAGATTTTGAAACTTCATAACCTTTTAACAGTTTTGCTCCCAAATAAGGATTTCTGGCAAAAATATTTATTCCTCACAGCATTAAAAATGTGTTATATGTTTTGGTTGTTATTTCACTTAATGTGATGATAAAAAAAACTACTTGTTTTTTCAAAAAACATTTTCATCAAACTAATCTGATTTATGGGTTGTTAATACTGGTTGCATAATTACACGGTTTTGTGTCTGAGAGGCGCCCACCTCCTGTCAATTATTACGCTGTTGTGGGGAAGACTAGGGATTATGCATAATTTCCAACGGTAGCTCGGCCTGGGTGTTTCCTCTTGAGGCAAATCACAGAGACAGAAGGTAATTAGTGGATTTGCCTTGCAAGCAGACAAATGCTATGTTGCTCCACCGCATACCTTGGCTCCGGATTTGGCAGCAGAGATTGATTAATGATTTTGTCAACATGATCTCAAAGGGAATCATCTCTGCAAACATGTCAAAATTCATGGGTTGGAAATGATTTAGAAACTTCTTATGAGTTGAGTCATTATCCTCTTTTGTTGAAGACTTTTATTTTTATTACTAAGATAGATAGATAGATAGATAGATAGATAGATAGATAGATAGATAGATAGATAGATAGATAGATATCTTGTGCATCCTGTACATTATATTAGTTTTATTAGATAATGCAAAACATGTGTTAGGGAGTGGGTTAAAATGCTGTTTTGCCCTCTGGATCACCATACAATCCCTGTTCTGACCGACACCCTGCTCTCAGATTACCATACGGTTCACTGAACAAAGGCTTACAGCAGGTAAATATTGAATGAAGCTAAAGTTAGACAGCGGGTATGTAAGCGATACATTAACCTTGAGTTTTGAGTTTGTCTAAGATGTTGTTGATGTTGTTCTGTTATTCAGTTTACAAATGGCAACTGTTGCTAAGAGACCCATAAAGCCAGTAACTGCTGATTTTTCACATTCAACCACTAGCTTAGCATACTTTATCTGAAGCTTTGGGGATTTTACATCGGTTTTACAGGGTAAAAATGTAAACTATGTTTCTGCTTTGATTACTGTTAAATTTCTTGATTTGATTTTTTTTTTGTTTTTTTTTGTATTAATTCAAAAGATGGACTGAGAGGACTCCATAGATTGCCTATATTTGAGACTGATAATATCGCATAGACGTTGGCCATCTGTGGGAGGGGATCCAGCTAAACACAGAAACACCACCCCGGATTGAATTTGGCTGCAGAGAAATGAAAAGAGCAAACATGACATTAATGTGTCTCCATTTAGCTTTTTTTTAAAAAGAGATTATATATTCATCCTGAGCTTGACCTATTTTACAAACACAAAAATGTCAGTCAGTGTAAAAAATGTAAAAAGCACAATAAAAACAGGAAACAGTGTACTTCCACTTTACAATTACCAAGTTCTTTTAGTTGTTTTTATTACATGAAATCCAAGTAAATGATGTGGTTTAATGTTTTAGGTCTGGATTGCAATGCTCTGTGTGTATTAGTTTAGAATGATGAAAAATGATATGATAACCTGGGTTACAATGATTTAAACATTTATGATGATATAATTCCAGATCAAAACATGTCCATCTGCACAAGACGAAGCTTTATAAAGTGGTCCAGTGATCTGCAGCAGCAGGAGGATGAAATGAAGGCACAGCAAGAGAAGGTAAAACAAAATAAACAGATTCCGTATGCAGAGAAGGAGGAGCCAAAAACAGAACAGTCCATGTCACCTGACTGTACCAACATACAGGAAATGATATCAGAAGGTGGAGCAGAGCATGTTTCGAGGGAGGGCGCAGAGATTCAGGAGGAGAGCAGGAAGTGCTCGCTCTCATCTACCAGCGAGGAGAAGCAAGATGGGCGGGAAGGTGTGTGTCTGTTTTGGGGGCAGGGCTGTGGAGGGTGGATAAAGCTGTTTAGCAAGTTGTTTGAAATCATCTGTAAACACATTAAATGTTTATAAATCCATAACTTTATGAAATAGGATGATTTACTGCTTCAAGAAGAAAAATCTTCTTATACTTTTATAATTTTACAATTACTTAAAATGCACATATACAGACTACTTATATTTTACAGCCATACAATTTATGAATTGTTTGTTGATTATATGTTTATATATATATATATATATATATATATATATATATATATATATATATATATATATATATATATATATATATATATATATATATATATATATATATATATATATATATATATATATATATATATACATAATCAACAAACAAATGGATAGAGTGGATGTGTGAATATGAGGCTTGTCTACTTGTAGTTTCTGAATTGGATTTAGGTTTGATGTTTGTATATACTCGTATATACAAAATGACAAAATATATCTGTCTAAGTCTAAATCTAATACTTCAGTGTTCCAAATTAATAAATATTGAATTCAAGTTCACGCTGTAGCTTTAGCTGCATGTTATTAGGTGCCATCGAAGATCAGGCAGCCTGTTTCAGCAGCTCCCTTTATTTTCCTGAGTTTTTCCTACTTTTTTTTTTTTTATTATTATTGTTTTTTGGATCTTTTAACTCTTCACTATTATGTTATTCTTATACATTTTTCTAAGGTCCATATTTCTGATCATTTTTCTATAATCTTTTTGCTGCTGTAAACACCAGAATTCCCCCATTGTGGGACAACAAAAGGATTTTCCATTCTATTCTATTCTATTCTATTCTATTCTATTCTATTCTATTCTATTCTATTCTATTCTATTCTATTCTATTCTATGTTTAATATTGCGTTTCACAAGGGTCGACCTTCACCTCAGTCTCAAATCCTTTTCAGCTTCACATAGTTTTTTTTTCAGGATTGTTCTATCTATGACCAACTTAGCAGTTGCTTTTTCCTAATGACTGCTCCCTAAAAAGCTGTATTTGCCTAATTTACAGAGTAAGTATTTCTTAAAATAAGTGCATTTACCTTGATTTGGTCAGGTAAATAAGATCATTTGCCAATTGAATTAGTATTTTTACTCTTAAAATAAGATAATTAGATAATATGCACTTGAAATAAGACAATGCAAAAAAAAATTTCTAATTTCAAATATAAATTATCTTGTTCCAATGGCAAAGTCTTTCAATTACCTCCTAAATTCAAGAAAAAAATAATTTATTTAAAAAAAAATTACTTATTTAGATTTTGTTTTGGCGCAGTATGGCTAAATAGTTTCTTTAATCTGAGTTTAAATATCTGTTGCTCCTTTAGTAATACCATGGGCTTTAAAAAAATAAATAAATAAATCAGTTAGAATACTTTCATAGAAAAAAGTGTTTTGATATGACACCATTAAAAAATGTTTGATAGGCATTCATACATTTGAAAGGCAGTGTTTGTTTACATTATAATTCGGTTCTCTATATTTGTTGAAGCATCAGGTGGGCACAAAGTGGAGAAGAAAGTGGAAATCTCCAAACCTAAGAGCTGGCAGCCCTCTTCTTACAAGTACAAAAAGATGACAAAAAAGCCTTGTCGAAATGGACCATTCTACTTTTTTGAAGGAACCAATGGGGCTGACATGTGAGCTAAACATGCAAAATACAAAATATTATCCAATTCAACATTAAGGGCCATCAGAGAGTCAGATTTACTATTTCAATAATGATCTTAATGCTAAAAAGGAGATGTGTGTGCTCCTTCACCACTCTTACCTGGTTTTGGTTTGCTTGGACACATGTGGCTGATTTTCTCTGCAGAGTGAGCAGCTACTTTGACAGCAGAGGGTGGATGAGGATTTATAGTGAACACAGAGAAGATTTCAAACTCAAGTGGTGTGTGACCAAATCTCCAGCTAAATACAGAAGCTTTAGAGAAGGTACAGTAGAGCTAAATTATATTAGAAGAACTCTAAATTTAAACAGCCATGAAAACCTTGTTGAAATGTTTTCCAGGTAGACATCTGATGTACCAGATTCCCAACAACATGGTTCTCACCACTAAAATCGGGCTCCTTAGAAGCCTGCGAGAGTTTGAGCAATTCGGCCGCAAAGTCCAACATGGACACAGGTAAAACAAATAGCTTGTTTCCCCCTTTTATTACTCTGTCATAAACCTTCATTTAAATGAGTGTCAAAGTAGTCTGAAGGAAGCCGGTTTGTTGGTTGTGCTGACCATTTAATTCATTAGTTGGATTAACAGAAGTCTCAGGTTCCAGCTCTCAAAAACCTTAACGCAGCGATAGGGTTGATTTAGGGCTGCACGATATAATCGGCCCCCTATCGGTATCGGCCTGTATCGGCCTTAAAACTGAATATCGGACATCGGCCACCCCACTGATATTTAACCCGATATTTGATCAGCTTCTGAGTTTCTAAAGTCTAAAAAAAAAATAAATACTACTACTTCTTCTTCCTCAAAAACTTCTTTTTTACAGACTTAAAAACTTCTAAAGACGAGGGAAAAAATATTGATACATTAAAATATCACAATATCTTCTTATGCTGATATATTGTCATTTAAAAACATATCAATCAACATTTACTGGTTTGTCTTTCTTCACCTTTAACATGTATTCATTCTGACCTGTTACAAGTGCAACCTACACTGATTTTATTGGGATTTTATATGATAAATCCACACAGAATTGTAAATATATGGGTAGTAAAAGGAAAATGGTTCATGACTTTTAAAATAGTTTACTGATAGAAATCAAAGCAGTGTGGCCTTCATCTAATCAACAATCAAATTTAATGTTTTGGACAACTTCCTGTTGGATATATTTGTTTCTACCAATTTTGCACAGACAGAAACATTTTCATTTTCTTCTCTGTAAGATATCTCAGTCAGACTGGACATAGATTGTCCATGACAGGGATCTGCAACCTTTCATATCCAAAGAGCAGTTTTGCTCAGAGTCCGACAAAGGTTATTTTGCAAAATATGACTTTTTCAAAGAAACAACTTTTTTATAGGAAATTAGTTGTCATCTTAAACAATCCACAATTTATGTATTTTTAGCTTTAAAGATCATTCTGAAACCTGTAATTTCAAAGCTAATTAAAAGAAAAATGGCTCTCAAGACATATTTCTGCTTATTTTATATTAAGCTCTTCCATCTTGTAAAAAACACTAAAGCTTTTAATACTCATTATAATACATTATTTAACTATTTAAATACATTTAGCCACCATTAAGAGTTGCTGGAGAGGGTCCAAATAGCAACATGTTGCTCTGGAGCCACAGGTTGCAATAAAAATAAATTTTCTAGCATTGCCATACAACCTAAATTCAATTTTACGCTGTATGCTGGGCCATTTATAACACATTACGTAATATGTTTTAATCTACAGCCATTCTTGCTCTGGCTGTATGTTTACAGCTGGTATCCTACAGTGAACCACCGTCTCAGGCTTACATAACATAATTCTGCCACCACCGTGTTCCAGGCTGCAATGGTGTGTACAGATTGAGATACAGAGCTACAGTAATTTCCAGACCATGGAGTTCAGTTATGGAGGTCTTTCATTACACCTGAGCACCTACCTGCATGAGCGTTGTGTCTTTAAAAAAAATAAAAAATAAAATTCTTATTTGGTATTCAGCATATTCTTTTTATTATACCGTATGCCACTACATTGATTAGACAGAAGTTTCGTTGTCAGATCTACCTTTGTTTTATAGCCCAATCCTGATTTAAACATCTCCAAAACTTTCTCTCTGATCTGTTTTTGTTCCTTGGTGTCCGCTATGCTGTTTATTGAATGTTCTCTAAAAAGAAAACTACCTTTCAGATAGCAGCTGTATTTATACTGAGATCATAATACACACATTTTTACAGCTATAAGTAAGTGTTGTGAATATGACTGCATGCTACACTTTCTAAATGTAGATGATCTTGCTTCATTTTTTTCTAAACCGTCCCTCACAGGTGGCTGAAAATGGAGGAGTTCATTCCTTCAACGTACCGCATGGATATGAAGAAGGAGAGGGAACTTTTCTTTTCCCACTTCACCCAACAGGAGGGTAAAACAGGTAAAACCATTTCTTTCTACCTCAACCTATCCTTCTATTCCTGCAATAAACCCCCTATCTCACCTTTCAAAGTGGAGCTGCCAGCTTCATGTCAGAAAGCTTAATCACATCTGACTACTTATGAATCAGACAAGGAGTTTGTTCTTGACGGTGTCAGGACAACAGTCGCCTAGGTGCGTGTTTGATAAAGAGCTGGAGAACGTTGGAAAAATAATGCACTTCACTTCCCATGAGGCCGTGATAAAATCAACAGGGAACCATGCTGCTGCCATGGAGATGAGTCAGCAGAGGGCAGGGCTGAGACACAAACAAGAAGAACCTGAACGCAGCACCGGCTGCTGCACCAAACAAAGCCACAAGTAACAAAGTTATTTCAGGACTTTCAAACGCCTTTAATGTCGTGTTAGGACCTGGAGATGAAAGTCACAGTTGAAATCTAGATTGATTGGTTCACAACAAACACATTGTGGTAAGAGGTGTACGGGTTTGTCAAACAAAGTTATCACTAAGCAAACAGGAGAAAGACTTAAACAGCCGGTTTAATCTCTGGGTGACGGATGGATTCATGGGACAGACAAGAGAAGGAAAAAAAAAAAAGCCAAAAGAGAACCAAACCACACTAGAAATAATAGAGATGTGAAACAGTCTGCACTGAAGTCTCTGCATGAGTCACTTATTTCTATACAGGGGATTACAAAATGCTTTGCAGGTTATGGTACCGCTTTTTTTTCATGAAACGCTGTAATGTTTTGGGTAAATTAAAGAAAGAAGTGAGTCAACATTTGTCAGTGACATCCCTTCTCTGTGTGTTTAGTTTTTACACTTTAACAATGTATAAAAAAATAGTCTAAACCCCCTTAATTTCTTCCTTTGATGTTATCCCACATTTTTTCCTTCACTCTCTGGCCATCCCATTGTGCTGTTTATATAGGGGTAAAGATTAGGAATAAAGAAACTAAGTAGATTAACTGAAAAGACATTTATTTAAGAAGGAAACACCTGACAATGCGTCACTCGTTCATTATCTACTGTTTGCCTTGTGTTCAAATTCAGGAATCATTTCAGGTGGTAAGAAAGTATTCTCTCTACAAGAGGTGGGAAGTAAAATGTTACTTTTACTTCAGTAACTTAAAAAAAATCTTTTAGAAGTAGTTTTACTTGAATGTCATTTTACACTTACTTGAGTAAAATTTGGAGTAACTTACAGTAAATGGTAAACATTGATGCTCTCTATCCTTTTCTCACATATGTGGATTACATACTGTTAAGGTTGGTTCTTATCATTTTACTTTGAAAAAATATTTAGTTAGTTAAAAGTGTTTCTTCTTTAATTTTTTTTTTTTAACTTTATCAGTTAAATGCCATAATTTGCACATAAATGTCTGATTACATAATTTTAAAATATTAGATCAGATGCTATGAGCTGAATTGAGCTATTGCACTACACTGCAAACACATATATGATGCAAACTCCAAAACACACAAACAACAAATGCAACAGAAAAATGTTATTTCTTTTAACTTCTTTTAAAGTATTCTAGAGGAATTTGCAGGATGCCTACTGTACTTTCAATTTTTTTCTTAGGTAACAATAGAAACTCCAGTAATTGTAGCGCTACTCAATCTGGAGTAAATGAGATCACATTTGAAATCAGTCCTTAACAAGTTTTCTGTAAGACAGGAAACCCAGACAGCTTCACTTTTCAGGATTTTGTGTTCCAACATAAATTTAGAATGATTTTCTTTTAAAATAAAACACATCTTACCACATAAGTACCAAAGAAAAAAGTTTACCTGAATTGTTTGTGAACTGACATTTTCCCCTAGGAGTGTACTCACTTTTTGTCACCAGTGAATTTAGACATTCACTTGTGTGTGTTTGCTTATTTTGAGGGAAAATAACTTCCTTATATTATATAAAAGTATCATACTTCAGTTTTGTCCATTGAAGTGATTTTGTAAGACATTTACCAAAACTAGATATATCTCCTGCTGTTACAGAAGAATAATTTGTTATAGCAGGTTAAAATCTAAGTGATATGTCTCTGTTTCTGGTGACAGCGGTGGAGAACTGTATGTGGATCTGTAAGCCCACCAATGGGAGCCAGGGGAGAGGGATCTTCCTTCTGAAGAACACGCAGGATGTTGATGAATTCAGACTGAAGCTGCAGAGCCTGGCCCACGGAAGGAACTACATTGCCCAACAGTGGGTGAATACCTGGTTGTTTGATCACACAAAAACTAGTCAATCATGACTAGTGCTTTTTAATGCTCTTTTAATTCTATGAGAAATCATTTTTATGCCATGAACAAGTACCCATGAATCATATATGATCATATATAATCATCTTTACCATCGACAGGCTGCCGCCATGTCCTGAATTCTTCGTTTTCTAGCCACTGTTGTTGAAATTTGCATTTTCCCATTCTCTAGCTTTTTCTCCGCCTCAAGCTTCTTTTCCGAACATACGGCTTTACGATCAACCGGAAGCAGTTCTGCGCAAATATATATGGCGATGTAATATATTTGATGAAATTGTTTCTATAAATTATTTTTTTCATAAAGCATTTTCAATGCCACAATAATCAAATTGAATGGATTTAAATGCCAATTAAGGCCTTAATTTAAAAAATAATAATATAATAACTTTAAATGATTTTTAATGACCCGCGGAAACCCTGCTGTAAACACTACTTTTTTCCCCCCACAGTTACATTACGCCTTTAAACTGATGCATCCATTGTTTCATCATATTTTTTTTACCCAGTTATATTCAGAAGCCGCTTCTGCTAGACGGCAGGAAGTTTGATGTGCGATCTTACCTTCTCATCGCCTGCACTGCCCCTTATATGGTCTTCTTTCGTCACGGTTATGTCCGGCTGACGTGTGACGTCTACGATCCAATTTCCAATAATCTCTCTACTCACCTCACCAACCAGGTAACTCCCCCACCTCTGAACTATCAGCCATTTCTAGACACTTCTAATTGACATAGTTAATCTAAACAGGAATTGGTCCCTTTTGAACAAAGCCAAACATATGAGATGGATTTTTCTGCTCTGACCTTTTAGCCTCCTGCAGAGGGATACATATTGACCTGTTTTTTTTATATCATTACCACTTGAATGACTTGAATTTTCACTTAAAATCCTGAAAACAGGGAAAGCCTAAAAAAACCTTTACACTTTTTTTTGTGTGGAATGGAACATGAAGAAACAAAGCATACAATGATTGCCTGCTTTACACATGGATCACAGCTGACATTGTTCATGTAGATGTAATTTCTATATCTTAACTGTGAAATCAGCTTAAATGAAAGATGCACAATACCTAACATTCAAAGAGTTGCAACCTGCACTAACTGTAACCTTTACTTCCTGTTCCATGTGTCACTGGTCCCCCTGCTGTCTGTTTCCAGTATGTTCAGAAGAAACACCCTCTCTACAGCAAGCTGAAGGAGGACACTGTCTGGTCTATGGAGAGCTTCAACACCTATGTCAATCTCCGGTTTCAGGTTGCCAAGGGTCTGCCCAGGGACTGGGTGCTGGGAGCCTTTGCGGTGAGAGCTGCGGCGTGCTGTAGCTCTGAGGGACCAATTACCAATACAGACGGGGTGGTTGGCACTGGTAGCTAATTGAGAATGTGGTTAACTTTACATGAGCTCATTGCTCTATGAATAGTCATCATGTTACGGCTAAAAAGGAAATATTACAAGTTGTTTTTCTTTGTACTGTCATGCATTGCAATGCTTTTTTTTAGCCGCAGCTTATAAAAAGAGCTCTATAACCTGATTACAACATATTTTATGGTCTGAAAAACCACAATAGATTTGTTTTTCTAAACGCCTGCTGTGTTATCTCTGCATTAATCAAGATGCCAGTCAGATTTTAGATTTTATTCTGATAAAAAAAGAGTATCTGAAACACAGCTGTTCTGACAGAGTCACGCCCAGAGACACGTCCAGCTAAATGCTGGTGAAGATTCTCAGTCATCCAGGTCATAGTCATTCAAAAAAAAAGAAAATTAAAAACAATCCATTGGACTTTGTTTCCAAGTTTGAAGAGGTTTCGTTTTCCATCCAGGAAGCTTTTTCAGTTCAAAAAATAAATTTTTTAATTGAAAAAACTCCCTGGATGGGAAGCGAGACGTCTTCAAACTTGGAAACAAAGTCCAGTAGTTTGTCCAGCTAAATCCACTCTGGTCCAGAAATTGTGTACAGGTTATTTATAGCTAAAAATTGTCAGCGACATTTAATTGTCAACTGCAGATTGCAGCGACATGAACACTGAACAACGATCTCTACAGTCAATAGCTTCTCAGTTCTATGCTGTCGTAGCACAAAAGATGTCTGCCGCCATAAATGCAAACCTGCTGCTATGTAATTATAAATAGCAATTTCCAAGGCAAAGAAAGCATTTCAGCTGATAGGTGATTACAAATTACATACATATAGATAATATACTACATTTTTGTCAGTAAATTCCTGTAATTATCAGACACTGCACCTTTAAAGAGAGGGGTTAAAAAAAAAAAATCCGTCTTAGAAAAGCTGATTTGATAGAGAGGTAGAATATGAGATCTTTACACCCATTATCCAAAATGAGAAGAAAACCTCAGTCACTTAACACAGTCAGGCTGAAAACATATGGAGTTACATCAGTGACAGATTGCACTGACATTGGAAAGGAGAACAAAACACTGTAAATTAAAAGACTGAACAGTTCGGCACTATCATAGGTAATATTTTTCAATATTATCTTTGTTAGCTGTGTAAACTGCAAGGAATAGATTAAGTTTAATTTAAAATTAAGTGGTAATTTACATTTTGAGAAGTGAACCACAACTCACTTTTGCTGCAACACTAGTGTTGGGTTTACTATAATGCAGTAGAAACAGGCTATTTGTTTTCTCTTGTCTCACCAGGAGTTAGAAGGACGTGTCACTGCTGCAGAGCATGGTCTGATTAATGCAATGGAACAAAATTTACAAAAAACTTCTGCAACACACATGTCTTATGGGGACATTACTGGATCACTTATTGGTTTTGAAATAAGAAAGATAATGATAAAAATGATACCTTTACTAGTAGTTGAGTAGCAGCACTTGAACCAAACCCTTCCATAAAAGACATAATTGGAAAAGCTCTTCCCCTGAAGCCAAAACAGTGCCACACAAACACTGCTAAGAAGTAAGCTGCTGAGGCTTTACCTCCAGTGGCGACTCAGGAAATAAAACCCTCATACAGGTGCTAGAGAGCTGTTTTCCCAGTGGAGAAAAGGTAGAAAAAGGGGCCAAATGTGGTGCAAACACATGTATGATGCAAACTAGAAAACAAACAACAAATGAAGCAGTAAAACGCTGCTAAAGACAAATGGTGCTGTCACCGAAACACTAAACCAACTAATGTTTGCAAAGTAAAATAACATGCAATCACAGAAAAGCTGAATCAGAGAAAGCAGCAAATTCACACTGCAAAAAGGAAGTAAGCCTGACCACAAGGGGGGCATCCCCAAAGTCATATGGATGAGACCCTCAGGAAAGATTAACCAAAGTTTCAGGGAAGAAGAAAAATATATTATTTCCCTTATAGTATTTTAAAATATATGGTTTTATCTTTTAAGTTTTATAGAACAGCAAAGTATTGACGTCAATAAATATGCTACGCCTCCATGTGACATTGCAGATGTCTCCCTCTAGTGGTCTGTTGTACTTCAATTCTACAGAGTGAATTCTCAACTTTTTTTTTTTAAGTTCCTGTTAATTCTTCTTTATTTTCATCAGTTCTCCTTTGCATGTATTTTGAAGGTTTCTGCTTTGCTCTATTTTCTGTGGATGGAACAGTTTTCTTTTGTTGTGGTTTCTGTTCATTTGGGATTTTTTTCAACTCTTTGTTGTGCAGTTTACATCAGTCATGTTTTTGCTTTACATGTTAGTTGTTGTGCTTTGGAGCTCAAACCAGCTCTGCAAAAACCGTCTCTTTTCAAAGATGAATAGTTGTCAGCAAATTCATGTTTAAAAAAATAACTTACTATCTCTGTTGAATCCTGCATTAAAAAAGAAAACAAAATAATATTGGGTGCAAATACACATATAGCTATGTAAATATAGTTTCCCTTAAGATTATACATTAATGTTTTTATGATGTGATTCTGTTAAACAAGAGACAAATGTCTTGTTTCTTGAGTCATATAGGTAATTATGACTCTGAACTGTTCTCACTGTTCTCACCACATATTCTCTGACAGATGTATTTATTCTTTTCACACTTTAGAGGCGCATGCAGCAGATCATGACACAGTGTTTCTTTGCTGTCAAAGACAAGTTAGACTGCCGCCCTGGATTTTTTGACCTGATCGGCTGCGACTTCCTAGTCGACGAGTCCTTTAAGGTGGATGTTTACACATCTTAGCTGGAGCTGGATCCCAATGTGCTCATTAAATAAAATCGTGATGTGCCTCTTCTAGGTGTGGCTGCTAGAGATGACCTGCAATCCAGCACTTAATGCAGACTGTGAGGTGCTGAAGGAGGTGATACCTCGCACAGTTTCAGAGACGCTGGGTCAGTTGGCAAGTCACCAGCATTTAACGCATTTGCAGAGTATAAGCACAACTTTGCATCTTACTATAAGGTTCAAATGTACTGTTGTTAATTGAATGACTCAAGTGTAAAAACCTCCCAAATGTTGTTTAATCTGCTGCTGCTTTGTCCTCCTGTATTTAGGTGTAATCTTTTAACACAAGCACTTGACTTGAGTATTATTTTATTTATGGTTCAGATTAAAAGAGCATTTCTACAAGCTGAATTTAAAGCAAAACTGCATAACTTTTTATCAAATTATTTACTTTTTTGATATATGCTAATAGGCTGCACCTGCATCAATGCTCCATGTGGGCTCCTCCTCTCAAAAACTGTCCTATGTAACCTGTGATGGTTGGATTTGCACTGAATGAGTCATGTGACCAAGGGAGCAGCATTATAGCAGTCTGAGCTCTCCTTGAACACCTCTATTTAAGCTAAGAGTTGTTGTTAGATGGTAAAACAGATACCTAATGAGACATGTTTTGGTTCTCCAATGAAGGATTTTATCTTGAATAGTAAATGTTTCCATGTTTTTACAACTAACTCTATGACTTCCCTACTTGCTCATCCAAAATAATGTACATCAGACTCCAAAACACAAAGAGAGACAGTTTCAGTTTGTAACTCTGCACTTCTTCCAGTTGCTTTCAGGAAGTTACAGGTCTAGTTCCCCTACTGGCTAAAAGTTATGCAGTGTTGCCCGAAGAATTTTTAAGGTCTTGTAGAACAAAAACTAATACAGCGCTTCGATTAATTGAACTTCTTTGACACCATAGTTACGGGTTACAAAAATCAACACAATCTGGTGTATTTTTAAATTTTTTTTATGTGACTTGAGCCATTTTACAATTGAATTTGCCTGGATTTAATATAAATACAAGTTTTAACAACTGATGTGGTTATCTTTTTAACAAAACCTTGAGAAAAAAACTGGTAATGAATTGCAGAGCAGGATGCTCATTTGATTCCCTAAACATTCAGTAAGCAAAGGGTTGCAGTCTGTCCCTTAAAATACGGAATTGGCAGCTAAACATTGTGTCCCGTATTAAACCAATAAGGAACGCCACGATTTGTCGCGCGATTTAAAAATTGCTGTATGTCACAGACACATCAATACTAAATCTAAAAAGAAGTTACAAAACACAGTAACCGGTAAAACCTACTAAATGTTAATTTAAAGAGTGAATCATGCTAACTAGGAATCAGAAAATAAACCAAGTAGGAAAATGTAGTTATAACATATAGCATATCCTAGTTGTAATACATTTCTTTTTTTGCATCTTCTGTGCGCATTTTTTATTTTTTATTCAAAGTATTCAGACATCAATGAATGGGTGGTTATCAATGTAGGCAGATGAGTTTTGTATAGTATATAATAGCTTTAATTACAAACTTCACACAAACTAACAAACTTTAGGTGCTATTGCTTTATGCTAGATTATAAAAAAGACATATTTAAAATGTTATTAATATATAATAAATCATTTTTAATTATTTCATTTATCTTTAGCATTAATAATTCAATTGAGTATAACAGTGCAATAACTTGTCTGAATAGGAACATTTATTATAAGTTATTCATCGTTTGCCTTATTACTTTAAATGCTGCAATGTTTTCTAGTCAATTGTCTATAGCTAATGACCAATTTTATAGTTTATTTGCACAAATTTGCTTTCCTGTCTTTACTAAAAAGAGAAATAAACCATTACTAGAACCCTGCCCCGCCCACCAGCCAGATTATATTCAAGAGAGATGGCAACCATAAACAAGCCCGTTTCAGGTGAAGATTGTTTTCACTCAATAATATAAGATACATTTTCTTTTGACAGGAATTGCTGTTTCCCTAAATCCTAGAACCTGTAATATTTTTCTTTCACTATGTAATTATACAGGAAAGATTTGTCTGTAGGTGGTGGAATTTTCAAATTGAGGAATAAGTCATTCTTTTTAGAGAGTACATTTATATTTGTTAAGTTATATGCACTTTATGATTGACAGGACTGTGGAAGATATTTTTTCTTTTGCATCCCCTATTTTAAGGTTACATCGAAGTTAGTAATTTGGTTGTTGTCTTCACTAAATATATTTCTGTTCCTAGGCAAAATTTTAATAATCATCAACCTACAAGTTGTTTCATTATTTCAACTTTTATCTTTACCTTTTCTCATTAGTTACTCATCACATGTTTTCATTTAAGATGTATATAAAATTTAAATCTCCATTTGTGCACCTTGTGAATAACTTGCTGTGGTGATCCCTGAAAAAAATGAAGAGCAGAAAGGACATAATATGTATGTTGGGGTGTTTTAAATAGTAATCAGGTAAATTTAGTTAGCTTAATCTAAATGAAAATCTATCATAAATATTCAAGTAAACATGGCTTTAGTCTGGCCTCAAAATCGGTGGCTAGAATCATTTTAAGAACATTTGATTTCAAGTTCAAACTTCTTTATATTGCAAAAATAGGTGAAACTAATGCTTCACATCAAACAGAAAAATAGCATAAAAGTGTGAGAGACACTAGAGAAAATAAAGTTCACCATCAAGAATATTTTTAATCTTATGATGTTTAGAAAAAAAGTCCAGTGTAAAATATTTTAGTGGCTTTGACTCTTAAGATCTGATCCAGCTGACCAGTCTGGACTTTAATGCAAATAAAAGAGGATAATCACTGGATATATGGGATTTAGAGGGTGCATATGTCTGCAGGTGTCCAGGAAGATACAAGGAGGATGTCTATCCAATCCCTCGAAGATGAACAATGCAACAATAAATCAATCAATCATATAGTTAACAGGGATCATGTGAAAAAAATCATCTACATGGGGAACATGTCCACTGTTTCCATCAGAAGTTGAGGTTCAGCGTTTAAAGAAAGTCCCTTTGCGGTCAAGTAAATACATAGATTAAAGCTTGGTCAAACTGAAGGCCAAATCCGGCCCATTATGAGTACTTGGGCTGTTAGGAGCCAAAAAAGGCCTCTCATATAAAGTAAAGGCATATATCGTTTCAAAGTACGACCAGTTGCTAAAACTGCAAGGTGAATATAGATAAACTTATATCAGAGCAGTTTGCTGTTTGAAAATGTAAATCAAAAGTCTAATTTATACAGCAGCAAACAACCTTTTAAAGATCTGATGATGCTTAAGGGGCCCCATATAAAAATTTGTTTGACACCCATAGTTCAAAGTGATAAATGTTAAAAATCATTTCAATTTATAAAATGGTCCCAGTTTATTTAAAGGATTGGTTGGTGTTCGCTCAGATGATGTGTCTCTTCTCAAACAGATCCTTGAAGCACCAAACGTCTTAAAAGGTTTCTACTTTACAAACTGATGCAGCAGTTTTATTTGAAAAATTCCCACTGTACACAGTTTTTTTCTTTTTACTTATCTTGTCTTATTTTTTTTTTTAAACTAATCTAAACATTTGTTCTCTGGCTTTTTCTGCCTAGATTTAACTCTGGAGTTGTTCAACAAGTGTCGTCTGAGAAAGAAAATCCTTCCCTTAGCCAGTCAGAAGGACTTCGTAATGCTGTATAGTGGTGCCTCAGATCATGCCTGCAGCAAAACAAGCAACGGCATCAAGTTAGACAAAAAGAAAATTAAAAGAAACCACACAACACAGCCTAAAAGAGAGTCAAAGGTAGAGGGGAAGAAGGGGGCAGACAATCCTTTGCCCAAAGTCACATCCTCTCTTCAAAACCCAACATCTCCACCTAAATGCTCAAAGTTACTCAGGGGTAGAACCATGCAACCGCAAGATAAAGTCAGACTGAGCGGCTACATTTCAATGGGGGATCATTTAAAGGCCACAAACAATCAGAAGCAGCCAAAGTCTGAGCAGAAGAGAAGGATTGCCACGCTTCTGTCCTGACTGCAGGTCTCTTGATGAAAACTCAAACAGGACGCGGTCAGAGTAGCATGCAAGGGAAAGAGGAACAGTGATACATGGAAACAAATGTGATCATTGTCTGAGGAGAGCAGGTGGAAAAGATTTGTAAGAATAAAACCCCTTGTTTTCTGCAGCGTTTCCTACTCTTTGTATTTTTTTGGACAGTAAAACGTGTATGAAACATTTTGATAGTTAAATAAAACTCTTAAGTCTGGTTTCTTTTCTTACAAATTGCAGTTTAAACATCATATAAGCCCTTGAAAGGCTTTTTATACATTCACCAGTGAGACAGCGGTCACATGTGTCATTAGATATTAGAAAAAAGGATGAGTCAAAAGAAAAACAGTTCAGGAAAAAAAAAAGATTCTTGTCTTGCTTAAAAAGGACAAAAGGTCACAAAACCAGAAATGTTTTAAGCGCTACTGCTGGAAATATAGTTTGAAGGTAAACCCGAGCATGGCAAGAAAAACCTGCACAAACCGGCACTTAATGCCAAAACTTGAGGGTGGACACTAACAATGAGCAAAAAACTAAAAAATACATATATATTTTTTTAAATAATACAAAATATTTGGTGGGATTCTGTGAATGAAAACCAAGGCTTAGCAGGGTTTGTTGCGCTAAAGCATAGCGATGGCTCAGTGATGCTGAGGAGTTGTTTTTTTCCCCCTTGTAAAGGAAACCTGCAACATTATAAAAGTTAAGCTGGATTCAGTTTAAGACAATAAATATTGGAGGTGGGGTTAGAATTACCAAAGAGGAAGCTGAAATATGAGCATCATCTGACCTTTAAACAGGAGGAGGTTCCCAAGTTAAAATTAAACTGGACCTGGGATGGCACTTAGTGTGGGCTGACGTAAATGTTGCTAAATGTCTTAAAACTAAGAAAAAGCAGGCATAAGTTGCTTAAATGTGCTGGTTGTTGGAGGACTGGGCCATGATTCATTACAAACGCTGTCAATTTGTGCACAAACCTGCTCTACTGAGTACTAGATATGCTTCCATAAAGCAGAAGCTGACTAATTTGGATGGTACACAAATGTCTCCACTTCTGGCTGGAGGTATGCAGATCATTTTTCTTTGTTTTGTTTTTTTTTGTAAGCAGCTTCTAGTTCATAGATCACGCCAGGTGACCTAAATTGCAGTCAAGATTGCAACAGTATTTGCATCCCTTCACAACCCCTGGGACTGTGTGCAACCCCTCTTATCGTCCTCTAACCAGGAAGATCCCCACCAGCCTGCGCTTCAGAGCTGTTTCAGCTTGTTTTGACTGCAGCTCTTTACCTTGCCATGTCACAACTCGCAATTATCTAAGCCCGGCAAGCCGCATTCAGGGCTGGAAGCTGATAAACATGACTGGATCTTTCCCAACAGGAAGTTTTCTTCATCATCCACCTGCTTTCAGCAAGAACTCAAAGGGCATCAATGAACTTGTGTTGTCAACATTAGGAGGAGAAGCAGCTTTTCCCTCCTCTACCTGATCAGGGTTGTCTAAGAAGCAACATCACAAACAGTTTGTATTTGCCACAGTGACGTGTTGGCAGATCATCAGCATGTGTACAGAGAGAAAAATAAGCAGAGTGAGGAAGCGGTTCAGTCCTCTGCTGCCACTTGACAGGAAGGAACAGCTTCTGAGCTGTGACTTGCCAAAAGCTTGCCACTTTTATCTTCAGCGTCTCTTTAAGAGCCGTAACACCTTTTGTTCTTTGGACTCTACGGAAATTTGCTCTGCATGCTGCCAGCAAGGGGGAACTATACTAAGCCTCCTCCTGCCTCCCCCTCCTCCTCACTACTGAACAATATCCTCTTCTAAACCCAAACAACCCCCCCAAAATTTTCCTGTTATCTTCTTGGTTTTATTTGTGCCTCACACACAAACCCTGTGGATGGTCGCGTCGGCAGATGGTCCTCAGTTGCTGAGACGGGAGTAAGAAGGTGAAGTCCTGGCTGGTCATGGGATGCTGCAGCGTGACTCAGAGGCATACAGGAGTGGATGAAGTTGGTCCAGATGAGATCGAACTGCTGGAACTCTCTGGAGATAATTTGGGGTAAGAAAACCAGCTACAATTATTATTTTTGTTTTGTTTTATTAAGTTGGTCAGAAATATTAACAGAAGTAAGAGAGAGCTGCAAGGATAATATGAGGCAAGTCTTTGAAATTTAATTTTAGCTGGCAGATTATATTATTTTTATTAGTTTCAACATTTTCAAACATGTTATGTAAGTTCTGGAAGAGGAAGTGGTGACAGTGTGTGAAGTGAAAAAGGCCACCTCTGTGGTTTTCTCTGGGATTGTTTGCATTTAACTCTGAAGGCAACATAAAATGTCTCTTTTATGTTTTCAAAGCTTCACCATGTTTCGACAAAAGCCTCGCTTAGACTCTGATGTGGCATGTAGGGTATAAAAAATACTAAAATCAATTGAAAACATAAAAACATTAATATTACAAGATTTGATTTTTTTTTGTTTCATTTTGCAATAAAGAAAAGATCACTTAGATTCTTTTGCATTGAAAGATGGGTCAGAATCTTTGATACATTTAATTTATTTCACTAATATAAAAGTCTTAAAAATTTTTTTAGAGGGCTGTTTTAGTTTTCTATGCATTTTATAAATTGTGATTTCCCTTTCTTTTTTTAACTCTTTTTGATTGTTTCATATTCATTTTCAATCTTTGGACATCATCAGATGAGGAGGATAATGCTTGTAATGCATAGATTCAATGGGATGTTTTTTGATTTTGAAAAACACTTGATTTAATAAAATCCTGCATAACTCGTAGGAATAGAAATAAAGTAAATTAGTAATAAACTCAACTTTTCACACTGTGTCATGTCACGGCCACATACCTCAATAGGATTTCCATTTTTAGTCCAATGAAAACTAGTGTACAGATATATTAAACAATATAATAATCTGATAGATCAAAACTTCATTCAACCCAGACGTCCCCTTACTGAGAAGAGCCTTAATCTCTTTACCAATTCAGGGTTTCTGCTGAATATTCAGAGGTTTGTTAGAGACCAATAGAGAACAAACTGGTAGGACCATAGAGGATGGGTCAGGGAGGAAGTTTTAAAGCAGGATCAGGTTATTAAACAATACTGCATGTTTTCTTCATCACATACGTAGAGTTTTGTTCAATCCATCTCACTGCAAAACCTACATGGTAGTCCGCCATAACTGGCAGGAGCAGCACAGACTGGCTGTTAACATGCCTGGTTTTAGTTGTGCACTGCAAAAAAATGTGGTCTCGTGAAAGATTTGGAAGAAGTGAGTTATTGTAAATAGAAAGCTAAAACAAGTCAATTCAAAACAATGAGGAGCGCAGTCATATGAGATCAAACTACGCTTTTTGTAGCCTACATGCTGAGCAGTAAGTGTTATAAAAATAAAACTGCTCTCCACTCGGCTTACAATGTTCCCCTCTGTGAAACACGATGGAGGTGGAATCATTTGTCTCTGGTAGGGGCAGGCAGCAAATCTTTGAAGAAGATCTATTACAGGGGTCACCAATCTTTTTAGGTCTGAGGGATACTACATGGGCAGACTTTAGACTTAGACAAACTTTATTGTCATTTTTTGCACACAGGGTGTAAAACGAAATTTTGTTCAGTACAGCTCTCAAGACATTCCCATTCTTTTTTTGTCATTATCTCTCAGGTTTGCATGGAACAAAAAAAGCAGAAAATATACAAAAGAAGTGTAAAAGCATTATTATTTGTATTTGGGCAGAGGAATTGATTCTTAGGTGGCAGGTCATTGTCTCCAACATGAAGATGTCCCCTATTGTTGATATCCATTGTGTCATTGAGTCACTTTTCTTGTGATTTTTGGCAACCACCTCTTCAAAGGGGAACACCATTTTATTTACATTGGCTTCTTGATTTTACATTATTACATAATGTTCTACTCACCCATATTAGTTTTGTGTCATTTGGGGCTGTTCCGAAGATATTTGGTTTTGTTATATCCAAGTAATGTCTTCCTAGTCTTCCTATGGGCAACAAGTTGAAGGCACAAACTAAACTGTTCATAATTTATCATTTGTGTTATGCTAGCATTCATTACATGAAGAAGAATCACTGTCCCCTCATTCATCCTGCCTGCTAAACTGCTGCTAGTTTTATTCACATGCCTGCAAGATGTCTAGTGCTACTACCACAGATGATCTCCCTCTCGAAATGGAATTGAACGATTCAGATTAGCTAGCTGAACGAATATAAGGGGTAGAGCGTAGCCGCCTGTGGCCCGGGCTACCGGTCACAACTCCAGTCCAGCTCACGGACTGGGACTTGTCTGGCGCGGTAGATCTGGGCCTCTTTTGCTCTGGAGCTCTGGGTCTGCTCCTGTGCAGCCATGATGGGTACCTCGGTGCTGTCCTTCAGTCCGGCTTTGTCTAGCCATTGGTAGGATTTCCTAATATCCACCACCTGGTTGTGTTGTGCTCAGTGACGCAGTGGGTAGCACTGCTGCCTTGCAGCAAGAAGGTTCTGGGTTTGATTCCTGGCCCCTTTCAGCATGGAGTTTGCATGTTCTCACTAAGCTTGCGTGGGTTTTCTCTGGGTACTCTGGCTTCCTCCCACAGGAGGAAATCCCCATAACTGTTGGTTTGATTGGCTTCTCTAAATTCTCTTTAGGTGTGAGTGTGTGCGTGAATGGTTGTTTTTCCTGTTTGTCTCTTTGTTGCCCTATGATAGACAGGCGACCTGTCCAGTGTGTACCCCACCTCTCTCCCGTAGACAGCTGGAGATAGGCACCAGCACCCCTTGTGACCCGCTTGGGATAAAGCGTGTCAGAAAATGGATGGATGGTTATGTTTGTATGGTACATGGGATGTACCACCGATCCATCTAGCACCTCATCTTCTTTTCCCCATTGTCTGAGACATTCACTGAGCACGTCGTCTGTTGGAGCTTTTTCCCTGATGTACTTATGGATCTGGGATGTTTCATCCTGGATAGTGGCTCTCACACTCACTAGTCCTCGGCATCCTTCATTACCGCTAGTGTCCAGTCTCAGGGGGCTGGTTTTGGAGGATACCCTCCCTGCATGATTAGAAGCTTTCATGACTGAACATCTGTGGCCTGTATCTCATCCTTTGGCCAGCTTATTATTCCTGCAGGGTATCTTATTACTGGTAGAGCGTAGCTATTTATTGCCCGAGACTTATTCTTGCCATTGAGCAGGCTTCTTAGGACCTGCCTCACTCTTTGGAGGTATTTGGCTGTAGCTGCTGTCCTTGTCAACTCTTCGAGGTTGCCATTTGCTTAAGGGATTCCGAGGTACCTGAGCTAACTGCACTTTGTGCCCATTGATCATATCAAATGCAACAAAATAAGGTTTGTAGCAGGAAATAAATGTGAAATGTTTTAAGAGGTATGCATAGTTTAGAAAATTTAAGGTGTTCCAAGTCAGAAAGCAGATCTGAAGAGAGGCATAAATAGTTTCAAAAAAGCAACAAAAAACAGATTATATCAGCAGTAAATTACCATGCAGCAGTAGACTGAGACAGACAAACTAAAAGATTCCTGTTTCCTCAGCTTAAACCATGCGAAGCTGGTGAGGTGAAGCTGATATAATTAGGTGATTACTGCAAGACAAAAGCGTAGAGAGGTTTTAATACAAAGAAAAGGGCTGGACAAAATCCTGGCTCAGTCTGAGGCTTCAGGGATTAACGGGAGGCTAATCAAAAACAGGAACTACAGCTTCTTATGGCTTGTTTAATTAATGCCAGCAGCTGGTCATTCAAGACTACAACATACAAACAGATGGGACTTTTGGGATGAAATGTCTGAAGTAAATATCCACTTAAACCCAAGCAGCCTATAACTGACAAAACACTGTTTATCTAGAGCTGGTTTTTTCAGTGCAAAGAAAGGTGATGCATTTCCTCCAAAGGATGATGCAACATGTTGACTGATAGACTTAAAGTCGTAGGGAAGTCATATTTAAATTTCAAATCATTCTGACTTAAACATGTACAAAAATTTCATCTTTATCGGACGATATTGTCCCAAAAGTCAGAAAATTAGTCTTAAAATCTGTGTATTTTTGTTTTGTTTTTTCCATTATATTATGCTGACCAGTTAGTTATACATTAACTTGTAAACCTAAATTCGGCCAATCATATGTCAGTGATCATCTGTCAATCAAATTTTTTCGGGCATAGCATCTTGATTCATATGTTGCAGCTAATATACGCAACGGTTGAAATAAGAAATAAGAATAATTTACTTTCCCATTGAGTTCCATCGCAGTGTTCACGGGGATGGACGTCTGTGTCTTCTGCAGGCGTAGAGCTAACAGCGTTGAGAGGCATGGGCTCAAACATGTACGGCTTTAAGCCTTCTACACCAAACCAAGCTTCTGCCGCAATGGTGTCCTCTTCCACAACATCTTCATCCCCGCTTTCCTCCTCTAAATAAAAAATTGTATGACAGAGGAGACTCATCCATGACCTCTGACACAAAACTCTCCTCTGAGTTTTTCAGCGTATTTTATTTAACACTTAGAACCATTATCATGAGGGTTTATACTGAATGTGGCCATTAAAGCAATAAACTTGGCTAAAAGCTCAAAAGAAGTATCTAGTATATACTGTATGAGAGATGTTTTATAAATTCACAAACTCTCACTTTTTGAAAGTGTTTATCAGTATGAAAACATATGCGGTAAAAGGAAGTTGTGGTCACAGAGAAATACTAAATTTTTTAAAAGTTCCCCTTGGGCACTTTACCTCCTCCCCTCAGGAAACCACAGTTTAAACTCTGCTTGTTTTTCTCACCAACACATATGTTGGTGTGCCACATTCCCTTTTTCTGTGGAGTTTAACTGAGCCAACAAATACAAATTCAGAAATTAAACTCCTCAGATCTGCTGTAACTATATTAACGACAGATTCATCACTATGAATCTGCAAGTTAGAGTTTCTGTTTGCTGAATGCCAATGAATTAACTCTTCTAAAACAGACTGAACATCTTTTCCCTGATCACAGGATGCATCTTTTGACATGGTTGCTTAAAAAATGAGAAGCGCCTCATTGCATCAACTGAGGTTCGATAACTTGTTGCAAGCTAAAAGATGATTGGTCATGCAGTAATTATCTGATAGGAGGTTCGTATCTGGTTGCTTAGATCCAGGTGGCTCACTTAAATCCAGGCAGGGAGCCATAAATTGTTATTTTGATTGAACAGAGGATCATAATCTGGTAATTTAATAAAGAAACAAACTGACTGGAAGAGTGTGATATTAACTCTAGCGCTGAGATAAAGATACATTTTTAAGCAGAATGAAGAAATTGGTTAATATCTTGCTCTCCATGGTTTCACAACACCATGGAGATCTGCTTATAAGTTTGAAGTGTATGGTAGGTAAACGATAGGATAAATATGACTGCATTGGCTAATTAAAGATTTATCAGCCTTTTCTATAAAAATCTGTGAAGACTTGTTGATGAGTTCTATAACTATATAACCTTTTTAGGGATGAATTCCTTTATACAAGGAAACTCATTTATCACATTAAGACTTTCACACATTAATCACTGTTTAAACTGAAAATCTTGAACAGATTGTAGCTTATCTTCAAAGATGTCAAATTTCTCATATCAGTCAAACCAGATTATTCAAGTTGAAGATGCAATGTAAGGTCCTAAAAACATAAAATGCAAGAACAAAAAAAGGCTCTGGTAGCCCTGGTCATTGATGTGATTATTGTATTCATAACAGGGTTTTTTTTCTCTTCCTTGTTGCCTTTGTATCTCATTGGTAATGCTTAAGAGCTTCAGTCTTGATCTACTCTTGATTCTAGAACCCATGTTGTGGTAGTTCTAGGCATTGCACAAATGTACATACAGTATGTCAACCTCAGAGTACCTGGGTTACTTTGCAATGGAATAGGCTAAGATAAAGTGGAGTGTGAACAGCCTTCATATGCACAAGTTAACTGTGCTAGTTATGAAAAGAGGATTCCCTTAAGATCCATAAGACATATTTAAGGTTTCTGATGAGATTTACGTCTAAGAAATGTTTGAAGAATGATAAATGCAATGGATACACAACCTGGATATCTTTTCTGGCATTAAGGGGAATTTCACACATTCATTTGGCTTTTTTTGGAATCTAAATCTTTTAATGACCTTTTTTGCTGAAATAAGATTGCTGTGAGGGTTAGATGGGCCCAAGCAGGTACAGCACTTTCTGAGAAAGCTTAAACATGCATCACCTTCTATAAACCCCAGCATGGAACTCCAGCTGCAGTACTAACAGATAAAAGGACTCTGCAGAGGATAGTTAAGGGAGCTGAAAGGGTCATGGGCCCTTCTTAGACTCTACAGGATCACTGCTCCTAGATTAGAACTCTATACATTGTCAGAGACCTCCTAATGCTACTGCTGCAAAGCCACCAGACAGGAGGAAATCTTTCTGTCTTAAGCTTTTAAAATGCTGAACTAAGGAATATTATGTTATTTTATTGGTTTTGTTTTCTACAGTGCCTTGATATGATTGAAAATAAATATCTATGATTATAAATATACCACTCAACGACTTGTCACATAACAACTGCCTATTTATGTAATGATATTTTAATGCAGTAGAATCATATACAGTTTTGCAAATGTTAAGTGCAGGAAATTACCAATAGTTTCTAATATTTTAAAGAACAATAATGTATAGAAGAGTGGCGAGAAGGAAGTCAAAGTTGTTTGATGTTTGTGGTTTATAGATTGTTGTCATAGTAAAAGTGTAAGAGCAGTGGTCAAATCAGATAAATATATATATATATATATATATGTTTAATTTGCTTACATGCAAAACAAACAAAACATTATTGGTCTAATCTTTAAAATGTTTGCACTTCTTAAAACAGGTTCAAACATGTATGCACACAAAAGGCAGAACTTCAGAGAAGGTGCAAGGGATTTGCATTTGCATTTCAGCAGTCAGGGTGTGCAAACTTTTTGTGTGTGTGTGCATCAAGATGCAATTCTGACTCTAATGACCAAATCCTGGAAATTCATGGGTGGGGAATATGCAATGTCAAAATTTACTACATTCAAATCAAATTTTCCAAATCTGAAACTAAACTGCTACTGCAGTTTTAGTGCTTCTGAAAGTCAGCTGGAAACTGACACAAAAATAACCACAATCATTGCTGCCACAAAAGTGGCATTGGTACAGTGCCACAAGGGAACACACAATCTGCTCATTTTAATGTGCTAAAACCAAATCGGTTTGCACATCTTGACATTTGCTCAGCAATCTTTGTAGATCGCCTTCCACACGCCGACTTATTATCAACTAAAAATATATTTATATGCAGAATAGCGCCTCTCATTTTGAATCTTTGTAGATGAGACTCTAGTTGTGGTCGAAAACTAATTGTGCAACTTACCCAGGGCTTTCCTTGAACACAGCAGAATATGGAGGTGACATCGTGATGCTATGGGGATTCTTTATCTGTGCTGGGAATAGGGATGATTTTCAGAGTTGATGCATAATAGTTGGTGCTCTAATGTAGAGCAGCCCTAAAAGAAATCCTTTAAGAGACTAAAAGGGATTCACCTTCCAGCAGGACCCCAAACATGAAGCCAGTTGGCAAGATCAAAGAATTAGAATGGTATAGTCAAAGTCCACAACTAAATTCAGTTGATAATCTGTAATAAGAGTCCCCAAATGGCTTGCGGCTTCTGTAGATGCAGCAAAACGTGTTTCTGTGCTTCAGTGTTAAAGTATAAGGCTTAATGGAGCCTAGGCGCAAGTTCAACTGAAAAAAACTGATTACTTACTCTTACCCGCCTCCGACACAAGCTAATCAGCTTTGAACTACACCTCCACAAAGCCCAGTTAGCATCCGGAGTTCCTCTTGAAAGGTCTCCAATCCATAACTGCGTCTGCTACCCAAAGCACAGGCAGTGGTTGGGCTGTGTCTGACTTTATTCGAATGACCCCGATTTAACCCACCTCCATCCCCTTCTTCACCATCTTAGCCAAAGCTTCATCAGGGTGTCATTCCTCACTGACTCTTACTGCATTCGCTGTCTCATCTCAACCAGTCTGTCAAAAGACCGCCATGTTGAACCTGGTTCTGCCAGAGGTTTCTTCCCAATGGGGAGTTTTTCCTCTCCACTGTCGCTTCATGCTTGCTCATCATGGACAGCTTAATGCAACCTGTGTTATGAAAGCTGGACTTCCATCTTCCAGGTCCCTGAGTGAACCTCTAGTATCAGCTCACGCAGTCCACTGGATCTCTCCATACAGCTCAAGTACACCGTCTTACCAACCAGCAGTCTACAGACTGACCATTTTCATCCATCTCCACTCCACCACCAGTTTCAGGCCTCGGGGGGGAAACATCCCTGTTCTCATACTCCTGTTCATGCATTTCAAACAAAATGCAGTGCTAATGTTTCCTGCTGAGGTCTGAGCGCCAAAGAGTAAAAGTAATCGTATTAATACATTTATTTTAATTGTCTTTTTCTTTCCGTATGAGTTTTTCAGCTTGAAATACCTACATGTGTTTCAAGCTTTACCTAAAGAAAAAAAAAATAAACATATTTAAACATATTTCCATTTCACTTAATATTATCCAGATGCTCTTTCACAGTAAATCCCCATACAATACATTTGAGTAATAATAATTGTAAATTGACAAAATGTTTAAGAAATTATAGTATATGTTATAGTATAATTATGTAGTTGTTATTAAACCTTATTTATTTAATTATTTTACTCTAACATGATGAATGAGCTGAAGAAATGCTATCTGATGTTGCTTTATTTGTTATTTGTTTCAAATTTGTTTCAAATGGAATAAATTGGATTAGATTGGTATAATTTAGTTTGCATGTCCTCTAATCTGTTGCCGAGTCATTATTATTAGAGGATAGACTGTAGCAACAAATTGTTAAAGGAATAAATAAGCAGCCGGTCTGTCTCCCCTCAGACCTTTATAATCTGATTAGGATTGGTTAGGGGGTTGCAGACAAGCCATTATCATTAGGTTATAATACTGTTTATCCCAATTTATCTTCTTTTAGCAACAAACGCTTTGGTCAGCTGAAGGCTGCATATTTCCCCAAAAACATAAAACACTTCAACATTTGCAGTTTGCTAACCGGTCACCCAGCTACAGTGAGGCTACAGAGCAAATCTATGAGCTGCTCGCTCGGCTCCTGCTGCTGATACATGATACTAATCTGATTTGATCAAATACTCAGATTCCTGTTTGTTTTGTGTGTTTTTTTCAGTGTATGGAGTCTGAGCGAAAACAGAGTCCAGCTTTCTGTGAGGACCAGCAGAGATGAGCACCAGCTCCCACCACAGCTGCCAAGCAAAGCCTCAGTACGACTCCAGGAGCAGGAGGTCAGAGCGCCACAAACACTCCCTTTAGAATAGCAGTTTTATAAGGGAGCATAGAGAAAATGCTAAATAGTTCTTCCATATGGGCTGTTTGTATACAAAAGAAGACAATATTTGCTAACGCATTAAGATCGTAAACATCTCCTGAAGTTTTCTTTGTGTCTGTATGAGAAGCTGCTGGTAACTGTTTTTTTTAGCTGAATATTATCCCAACATTGGAGTCCTCCCTGAAAAAGCCTGTTCTGTGATTAAATGAGTAGGCAGTCAAATACACAATAATAAACCTGTTTGGGGCGTTCCAGTAAACCTTTTGTTCAGGTTTTTGCTCTTGGCCTCCTGCAGGTTATGCTACCCTGGGCAGATAGCCATAATAACCATTTTAACAACTGCCACTGTGTGTAGACAAAACATTTTATTTTTAACAGCTCATAGCTCTGAGTACAGTGGCTTAATATACAAACAAGAAACAAGCAACAAACAGGACTGTAAAAACAGATACTATGAGCAAGAAAATGAAAAAAGAGAAGTTTTTTACTGAAAGCTTTAGAAGACAAACTCGTTTCTAACGTGTAGTTTATCTATTAACGCTCTGTCTGAGGGTAGATTATGTTCAATCCCCTGACAAATGTACATCTGATATTGCTTGTGTCTGTAGGTGGTGCTGTGGGGCAGGACCAGAGATGAGCTCCACCACAGGATTTTCTCTCAGCAGCCAATCAGGGGCTGGGAGGGCCAACCTGCTCATATTTATGGAGAGGTCATCTATTCCTCTCTGGTGTCACTCTATACCAGCTACACACAGGTAACATATAGAAATAGGAAAAATTCAACAAATATATTTATTCAATTATTGCAAAATGTGTTACGTAATAATTTAACCAATTCATTTCACGATACTCGATACTCGATACCATTTTCGATACCACAAGGATAAAAACAAAGACTCCAAAATTCTACAGAAATATTTTCATTCATAAATAAAGTACAATAAATAAGTACAATAAAGGTTGTTTGCTGTTCACAATATTAAGCAAGCTTGATGAAAAAACTTACAAAATTAAAATTAAGTGTTCCTTCCTTGGTTATGCTTTGCACACATAACAATGACACTAGCCAAACCAGTTAAGAAACAAAAATAATTCTCAGCAGCTGCACCTCTTACAAAAAAGAAGTGTGAAACTGAAAAGTGCACAGAATGATTTAATCACACAGTGTTCAGAAAGTGCATTTTCCACTATTCTGCACTTTAGATGAATGACTGTTTAGGTGCCACTGGTGGTAGCACTGTATCGATACTTTTAAAAACGAGTATTGTATCCGGATACAGCATTTCAGTATCGATACTTTTTTGAGTATCGATACTTTTGACAACCCTACTTTATTATCTGAAATCAGTTTAATCCCATCTAAATGAAGTGACTGACTAATCAGCTTCTTTTTCAAAGACTCTGTTTTGTCTGCATTCAGAAGCAGAAAGTTAAGAGTAATCCAGCTTTTTCTGTCTTCAAGACATGCCTGTAATCTATGTAATGGGTTAGCTTAATCTGGATATCTTATAGGCAAATATAGCTGAGTATCATCAGCATAACAGTAGAAAATAATCCCATGCTGTCTAATATTTCTACCCATTGGGAGCATATACAGTATATAGTAAAGAGAATTGGTCCTAGCACTGATCCCTGTGGTACTCCACAGCTAACCCTGGAGGATGATGAAGATTTGTCATTAACGTGAACAAACTGAAATTAATCAGATAGATAATATTTAAACAGTCTAGTGCTCTTCCTTTAATTCCTACAAAATATTTGAGTCTTTCTAAAAGAAAAACATATCTTGTGTCTTGTGTACAAAAATAAAATAGATTGCGACATAAACATAACATAACTGTTTGTCTAAAGGAAACTTTATACCCAAGCAAGAGTAGGGATATTTTATAGATATTACTTCAACAAAGTAGAAAATTATGGACCAGCACTCCTAGAAGTATATTTTTATCAAAAAGTTACTAAAGTAACTGTAATTGAGTGAATGTAACTAGATACTACCAACCTCTGGTTGTCATGTGCTTATTATTGGGATACAGCTACTTTTCCTAACTAATGTAATCTGTTATCTTATTGTATTATTTCCTGCTGAGGCAAAGAACGCAGATTATACCTCTGCTTCTCTACATCTATATTCACAGGAAACCAGTGAACGGTTCCTGTTGTTGTTCTCTTTTCACCTTCTGATCCTGTCATTGGACCACTCCAGAGAAGACTTCATATATGAGGTATCCGATTTGATATCAGTTAACTCTTTTTTATCTTTCCCTCTGAGTCTACCCAAAGATGTATGCTTCTAGTTACTCAAGGTTTGCCTTTTCTTTTCCTGCAGGGTATTCTTCCTGTTTCTGGGCTGTCTCTCCGAGCTGTATCGCTGGAGCCGGAAGTGTCCCATTCACCACACATGTTTGAGATCAGCAGTGAGACGAATCCCAGTGAAGATTTAGCTCAATAATTCAGATTGTTAAGTTTAATTTCTTCTGTTCTGTCTGTTGTCCAGGTCCAATGATGGACTCGAAGGTGTTTATGTGTGCCAGTGCTGCAGAGTTAAAGAGGTGGATGCAGAACATAGAGGACAGGAGATACAAGTCCATGATGCAACCCATGAGTCCCTCCCACTGTGCTCTTTCTTATCTTGTAATTTTTTCACATCTTTTGCAAATGTGGTTTAAAGGCCTGCGTGATTCCAACAGTGCATTTAAACCTTCCCCTTTTTTTATCTTTGCTTGCTAGTTGCCTTGTGATGAACATTGGAAAAGAGAGGAGCTGAAAAAATACTTGCTGCAGGCTCCCATATGGAACTGGGAGGGCTCGCCTATACAGCACATGGGTCAGCCAGGATACATCTCTATTGTTCACATCATCAACACTCAAAGACAGGTAGTCGGGTTTCTGAATGTCATCAGAAGGATTGCTTCATAATCAAAACCCCATCAGGCCTTTAACTTATTTTGCTATTATTATTTTTTTTTTTTTATCCTTTTTTTCCACAATACCTGATCATCTTGTGTGGCATAATGTGGGACTGCTAAAGCAACAAGCTTGTCTGTGTTATAATTGCTATGACTAATCAGTTCCATCATACACCGATAAATATATAAATTTATCGTGGCAATTTTATTGGAAAAATTGGTGCATTATTTAGAGGTGGGCTTTTAAAACATATAGAATAGGTAATATATTATATTGAATAAAAATGTTGGAATATGCGTCTTTATTTAGTTTTTAGATACAATGACAGTTCTGAGGAAAAAAAGCAGGAAATCTGAGACCTGTAAAGTAAAGAGGGAGGCACAGGAGGGACTGGTGCACCACACTAATAGATTTATACAGAGTGGAAATAATAATGCAACATCTCAAAACAAATAGACAAATAGGGGACAAATAGATCCATCTGAGGAGAATAACCTTAAGCCTTCTGATAAATCATAAATAATAATAAATAAGACAAAACAAACAATAAAAAATAATATATAAATAATATATGACATATTACAAATAATATGTCTTAATGATGCCTTGCAGCAAGAAGATTCTGGGTTTGATTCTGGGCCCGACGTCTTTCTGCATGGAGTTTGCATGTTCTCCCTGAGCATGCATGGCTTCTTTCCGGGTACTCTGGCTTCTGCCCACAGTCCAAAAACGTGACTGTTAGGTTAATTGGTTTCTCTAAAATTTTCCTTAAAATGGTAATGGTAAATGGCAAAAGGTGTGATTGTGTGCGTGAGTGGTTGTTTGTCTCTGTGTGTCTTTGTGTTGCCCTGCGATGGACTGGGTACCTTAAAAAAAATGCATTTCTTCTTTTATGGAAGATGTACTTACTGTTATTTTATGAATTGAACTTTATTGTTTTCAAATAATAACAATAAACATCTATAAACAGCAATCCACATAATATCAGATTCAGTCTTTGGAACATTAACACACAGAACAAAATTAATATAGAAAATAATGGAGTACAAAACATAAATGCTCTAATAGAATATGCAGCAAAAATTACACATCTCCATATCAATATGGTGTAGCAAAATTAAATAAAGCAAAAATAATAACAATAAAATTAAAATAACAACACTAAATAACTAACTAGTAATAATAAAATAGAGTTGATGCCAAACAAATCTGGACCTAAAATTTAGAGGTATCGCCAACCTATTTAGATGCCTGAAGTTTTTGAACTACTATGGCAATAGATGGAGTTGAAGCAAACTTCCATTCCATTACTAACAATTTCCTTCCAAGCATAATTGTAGTTTGGGCCCACTGTGACAGAAATGATGGCAAAGAACTCATAATCAAGGGGTCACCAAGAATGTAAAGTCTGTTACAAAATGGAATATCCTTGTCGAGGATCTCCCTGACTACTCTATGAACCGATGTCCAAAGGACCTGAATTTCTGGGCATTCCTACAGCATATGTACCAATGTGCCGTTATCCTCCTGGCATTTACAACATTTATGATTATCTGCCAAACCCACTCTGTTTAGCCTAAGAGGAGTCCAGTATATTCTATGTAATATTTTGAATTGAACTAATCGAGTCCTCAACTCTCTTGATGTTTTCTTCCTGTTTCTAAGTAGCCCCTCCCATTCAGCCTCTGAAAAGGTATAACTTAAATCCTTCTCCCATAACTGTTTAAGGGCTATTAGAGAAGTATCAGATACCATTAGTGTCATGTTGGGGAGTGTTGGCCTGGTGGTTGAGCAGTGCTTGTTATCTGAGAAGGTTACAAGTGCCCGGTTTGATCCCCACAGCCTCCACTCTGGGTTTCTGAGCGAAACACTTAACCCCACTTTGCTCACAGGGCACCGCATGATGGCAGCCCACTGCTCCCCAAGAGGATGGGTCAAATGCAGAGATTTAATTTCCCCATTATGGCAAAATAAAAGGGATTTACATTACATAAAAATTGGAGGCTGTGTGACCTTGCCTAAATACCTTCTTGATGACATCTAAGAAGGTAGTTACTGTTGAATAAATGCTAATCAAGCTTGAATTTCTAATTCTTTCTGCTCAGTTTCTACTGTTCTGAGTGTGTAAGATTTTTCTTCAACATATTTTCATAAATAACCCTTTTTTTTTTTTTACAGACTATGATAAAAAAAATATTTTGAAACATGTTCATATTAAAACAAAATGTCAAATAATGAAACAGTTTATATTCCTGAGGGAGTTCCTATTATTGTGCTGAAGTTATGAGGCGTCTTTGAGGTTTAGTGGAATTTGTTGTTTTAGGCAGTTTTTAACTAATGGGGGACATGGTGTTTTTAAATTTTTTTTTCTTGCAGGGTCTCCAGGAGAGGCTGATGGTTCTCTTTCCTCATGATGTTCTGCTGCTTTCTGTGGACAGCAAGCGGCTAAATGTAAAGTATGAGGTAGTGTATGATAACTCTCATTGGAAAACCCATAATAATAGCTGCTGACCTGTGAATCACTACAGGGCGCTTGTTCCGCTGATACATGGCTCACATGGGGGGATATTTTCTATCTCACACCTATTTCATTAGCTATTAATATAACAGATTCACAGTAATAATTAATGAAAAAAAGAAAAGAACATTATACATTCCCCTTCCCTTTGTGTTTTCCATGTTGTCGGTCACAGGGCAGGCTGGCTCGACACAGCATCAAAGCAGTGGAGCGCTCAGCTCTTCCTGGACGGCTGGAGTTTGATCTGAGAGGTAAAAACTTCAGGAAATCATGTTTTTCTTTTTAATCAGAAGCCAGTCTTATTGCTTTTGCCATTTTTCCAAAGACCCATGAGGAATGCTGGAATTCATGTACGTAATATTCATTTTTGCTGCAGGGGAGCTGGTGGAGCCACTGCAAGTCTCCTGCACCTGTGAGGAGGATTACCAGACCTGGATTTTCCATCTGCAGCAGGTTTGGCTGTGTTGTATTTATAGGAGCAAATCTCTCATAGAAAAAAAAATATATATAAATAATCAAGTTATTTCGGCTTTTTAAGGAACCTAAACCCTACCAGTCATTGTTAGATACTGTTTTATTTCTAAATATGACAGATTCAATAAGGTACTCAAAGAACTTTTGTTTCATAACAACATAAAAACATCTGGCAGCTGCAGATTTTTCAGCCGAACATCTATGATGTGAAACTCCCAACCTGTGGCTAAAGTGCTGCACAGCTTATAAAATGATACGAGTAAGTAAGTAAGTAACTATATGCAACATTAAGAGTGCATCTAAGAGAATTCAAGCAATAAAAATAATTAAAAAATATATATATATGAATAGAACCAACCTGAAAATCTAGTTAATCAAGTTAGAAAGATGCAGTCTTTAGATGAGATGGAAGTCATTCTTCTTCTAAAGTTTGGAAGTCACAACAGAGAAGGTTCTTCTCAACTTAGGAACATGAATAACCAGTAAAATATACTAAAATACACAGTAAGTAAAGTTAACTCATTGTCTAAGTTTAAGAAAACAGTTTGAGATTATTTGAGATCTGGGACACGGTACACTGAGTTAGCACTCAGAAGGTGCATTGTGGTGATAGAGGAATGGGCATAGTTAGCATCAATGCTCATGTAAGCTGTGGTGTTTCGGTGATGATGAGTTGTTACTAAGGGACTCAACATATCTATCTTAAACATATCTACATGCCTGAATGCATTGAGCTGCTCCCTTGTAGATTGCTGATCCCCCTTTCCTGTTAAAAATCAACTGAGCATGTGAGCTCATAAAGCTTGTAAATATAAAGAAAATGGCCTAAGATTTAGTTAAGACAATATATGAAAGATAAACATAAATGTAAATGGGCTCAAATTTGCAAATGAAAGAGATAAGATTATGCCTCATGTGTTCCAGAATCTGGTCAATATATTTTACAATATGTCACCATTCTTAACTACGGGTATTTGTTTTTTTCAGTACACTAAAAAAAATGATTCGAGCCCTCCATTGAGGTGAAACAATTTCTTCCCATTAAAGATACCTAAATGAATTGGTTCCAGAAATATTTAGTAATATTTAATTTATGTAACACAATATATATGAACATTTTATTTATGATGCAATGTGAAGTAAAATTTCTGAGTTCATTATAAGGGTGTCTTTTGAGCTTAAAAGGACGGTCTTTTAAGTGAACTCAATTATTATTTCCTTTAATTGTCGGACCACTTTTGCCAGAGAGCAAGTCAGCATGGTGGAGGTCATATGGTGGAGTTAGTTGTTGCCCAAGTCCACACACATGAAACCATAAGTTACCTTGAGGCTAAGATCCATGATCACAGGCAGCTCTTTGTTTCTGAAGGCTTTTTGGCCATGTGACATGCATGCATCTTTATTGACAAAAACAGTTTCCACTCTTAAAATAAATTAAATTGAGCTGATAAAACGGATTTATTTGTCATTTGGTTATTTACAGCCTATGAGTAAGCTGAACATAACTTAATTCAATGCAGGATAGGTAAATATAATTCAATTTTAGAAGCTAAACCAAATAAACATATTCAAATTTGGGGCATGTATTCATTTCATACAGCATCATATTTTTTTCATTTTGTAAAATTCCCCTTTCTTTCAAATCCAAAACTTGACATGTATGGAACTGAGAGAGTGAAATTAGAGGGAATTTGAATAATTTGTCATTTGTTCGGAAAAGTAGCATAAAAGATCTAGTAATACAGTAGATTTCACTTTTTTACTTATTTTATTGGGATACTTCACATTTTTTGTGGTAGTATTCTGGTAAGCATTACTGAACAGTTTAACTTCGTATCAGGATTATAGTAATCTGTAAAAATAAGCAGATTAATTTTAATGCAAACAGCCAATCAGAGTGGAGGAAACATTAAATCAGATTTCTGACTCAGTGGTTCTTTTTTTCAAAACTGCTTTACAGCATCACATTGTTGTTTTTCTAACTGCAAAGTTGCATAAGCTGCATCAAATTCAATGTTTTTATGCATTTTCAGTAACATACTCTATCCAAACACATATAAAATGGGGGTTAATCTAAAGTGATACAGAGGCCTTATTAATGGATGGCTGGAGTATCTTTGATATGCTAATATAGGCTGTCTACTCACTGCAAAAAATATAAATCTCAATAAGTTATTTTTTCTTAAAATAAGTGTGTTTTTTCTTGATTTGAGGAGGTAAGTAAGACACTTTGCCAATGGAACAAGACAATTTCCTTTTAAAATAAGAAAAAACTATTTTATCGTCTTATTTCAAGTAAATATTATCTAACTATCTTATTTTAAGAGTGAAAATACTCATTCCATTGGCAAATCATCTTATTTACCTGCTCAAATTAAGGCTAAATATACTTAATTTAAGCCATTTTTTACTTATTTCTGGATTGTTTTTGCAGTGCTGGGGTACATTATAAGGTGTATGGGAGCAGCATAACCAACAAAAATACTAGTCTCTCAGTTTTCATGATTTTACATTTTCATATCTCTAAGGCCTGTATGTATCCCACAGAAGCTGCACCAGCATGCATCTTTGTCTTCATTAACACAGATTTTAATAACAGCTATTGTGTAAATGGTTGTAAACTTTAAGTGGGTGTGGTTGACGAATGCTGCAGTAGGAGTGACCCATAAGGATTTACCCGCAGGTCTGCTATTGAGTTCTCATACAGTATAAAATGACCAGAAGAAAATTTGAAGATTTTCTTTCCAATCCTTAATAATAAGCTTTTCATATATTATTAGCTCGAATAATCAGTAAGAAAAGTTGGTGGATTTGTGGAGAGATAGCCTTTACAGCATTTATCTAAATTATTTTTACCATACTGTATGGTTGCAGACATGATACCCCCTCAGAAAACATGCATTATGTTTGTTTTTTTTTTTGTTTTTTTTTCAAAATAAGAACTGAATCTTTTCTTGCATTTTAGGTTTCGGTTTTAGCAGAAAAAGAGTTAAAAGCTTCTTTCTAGGAATCTGGCCACATTTATTAGTCCTCCAAAACCCTGACCACCCAGGGTGCAGACCAGGAAGCAGAGTTGTAGTTTAACACACATCTCTGCAGCTTCTCTACTGTTACCCACTCTTTACTCCATCCAGACAGTGTCTTGCCCACGACCAAAATCTAATAAATTAGCAAAGATTCCCAAAGGAGTAAATCATGATAATCTAATTAAAATCAAAATAACTCCAATTGGGGAAAAAGTTAAAACAATTAAATGCGGTCTGTTTAACATAAGATCGCTTTCCTCTAAAAGTCTACTAGTTAATGACTTGATTTGTGATAATCACATTGACTTGTTTTGCCTTACAGAAACCTGGCTGCAGCAAGAGGATTATGTGAGCATAAATGAGGCAACTCCTTCAAGCTATTTAAATTTTCACATCCCCAGAAGTTCTGGGCGAGGAGGAGGAGTAGCAACAATCTTCGAGTCTGACTTACTGATTACTCCCAAAACAATTAATTCCTACAACTCTTTTGAACATTTAACCCTTAATTTCCCTGATCCAAATTTCAAGGCAAGAAAACCTCTTCTTTTTGTAACTTTGTATCGTCCACCAGGTCCTTACTCTGAATTTTTAGATGAGTTTTCAGAGTTCCTTTCTGATTTGGTATTAAATACTGACAGGGTCATCATAGTGGGAGATTTTAACATCCATGCTGACATTGAAGGCGATAGCTTAAGAGCAGCCTTTAATGCTATCTTAGACACTATTGGCTTTGTTCAAAATGTGAATAGTCCCACGCATTCTCATCTTCATACTTTGGATCTTGTGCTGACATACGGCATAGAATGTGAAGAAATAACAGTATTTCCTCACAACCCTGTCCTCTCTGACCACTTTCTAATAACCTTCAGGATTACTTTAACAGAGTTCTCCTCCCCCAAAAGAAGGTTCAATTTTAGTAGATCTTTATCAGATAGTGCAGTTATAAATTTTAAAGAATCTGCTTCACTTTCTCTCTGCTCTGTGTCACTGAGCAGTGCTGCAGAGTGCAAAAGCTTAGCTTATTCCCCTTCACAGGTTGATGATTTTGTTGAGGGGGTTGCTAGTTCTCTGCGTATTGCCTTAGACAACGCAGCTCCTTTGAAAATGAAAACCGTTAAAAATAGAAAGCTTGCTCCTTGGTTTAATGCAGAGCTGCGTACTTTGAAGCAAAATGCTAGGAAACTGGAGAGAAAATATCGCTCCACAGGCCTGCGAGAGTCCTTCCTAGTCTGGAAAAATGGTTTACTGCTGTATAAGAGGACCCTTTGTAAAGCAAGAGCAGCATACTTCTCCTCATTAATAGAGGAGAATAAGAATAATCCTAGATTTCTTTTTAATACAGTTGCCAAACTCACCCAGAGCCATAGCTCTGTTGAACCGTCCATTCCACCTGCTCTTAGCAGCAATGATTTTATGGGATTCTTTATAAATAAGATTGATCTTATTAAAAATAAGATCATAAGCACTCCTCTATCCGCAATTATAGACCTATATCCAATCTTCCTTTCTTATCCAAAATTCTTGAGAAAGTAGTTGCCAAACAAGTTTGCGATCACTTCCACCATAATGAACTTTTTGAAGAGTTTCAGTCTGGCTTTAGAGCTCATCATAGCACTGAAACAGCTCTGGTGAAAGTCACTAATGATATTCTCATGGCCTCAGATAATGGACTTGTATCTGTGCTCGTCCTGTTGGATCTTAGTGCTGCATTTGATACAGTTGACCATAATATTCTTTTAGAAAGACTTGAATATTTTGTTGGAATTAAAGGAACAGCACTAGACTGGTTTAAATCTTATCTATCTGATCGAATTCAGTTTGTTCATGTTAATGATAGATCTTCAACACGCTCAAAGGTTACCTGTGGAGTACCACAGGGATCAGTGCTAGGACCAATTCTCTTTACTTTATACATGCTCCCAATTGGTAGAATTATTAGACAGCATGGGATTAATTTCCACTGTTATGCTGATGATACCCAGCTATATCTGTCTATAAATCCAGATGAAGCTAACCCATTACATAGATTACAGGCATGTCTTGAAGACATAAAAACCTGGATGACTCTTAATTTTCTGCTTCTGAATGCAGACAAAACAGAAGTTATAGTCTTTGGACCAGAGTCTCTGAAAAAGAAACTGATTAGCCAGTCACTTCATTTGGATGGGATTAAACTGATTTCAGATAATAAAGTAAAAAATCTTGGTGTTATTTTTGATCAGGACCTGTCATTTAAATCCCATATCAAAGAGGTTTCTAGAATTTCCTTCTTTCATCTGAGGAACATTGCAAAAGTTAAAAATATCCTGTCCTGGGGCAATGTTGAGAAACTAGTCTATGCATTTTTTTTTTACTTCAAGTCTGGACTATTGTAATTCTTTATTATCAGGAAGACTAGAAACTGTAGTTAAAAGCCTTCAGCTGATCCATAATGCGGGTGCCAGAGTTTTGATGAAAATTAAAAAGAGAGATCATATCTCGCCTATCCTGGCTTCTCTTCATTGGCTTCCTGTTAAATCAAGAATAGAATTTAAAATCCTCCTTCTCACATATAAAGCCTTAAATGGCCAAGCTCCATCTTATATCAGAGATCTGATTGTTCCTTATGTTCCTAACAGAGCACTTCGCTCTCAATCTGCAGGTTTACTAGTGGTTCCTAGAATTTCTAAAAGTAGAATGGGAGGCAGATCTTTTAGTTATCAGGCTCCTCTCCTGTGGAACCAACTACCAGTTTTAGTCCGTGAGGCAGACACCCTGTCTACTTTTAAGGCTAGGCTTAAAACTTTCCTTTTTGATAAAGCTTATAGTTAGGGTGGCTCAGGTTATCCTGAGCTATCTCTATAGTTATGCTGCTATAGGCTTAGACTTTTGGAGGACATAGGGACCCCCATTTCATCATTCTGCTTCATTCTCTCTCTGTTCTCCTATTCTGCAGAATCTGTTAGTTCAATCTCTAACCTTCTGCTCTCTCTGCTTTTCCTCAGAGTAGCTTTGCCTCGTCTGTTCCTGTTTGGCTGTGACGTCATCCTGGAAAAAACATCAGCTGTGCTGCTTCTATCAACACCCTTGTTAATAGATGTTGGAGATCGGCCTGTTTTCCAGTGTGGTCCTGTTTCTCTGACCGTGACTGAGTGGATGTGCTCTCTTCGTCCTCTGGCATGGGAGCTGCCTTGGAGCTCGTCTGCCTGGCTGTGTGTTTCCTGGACGGGGCCGCCTTTTACAGCTGCTTTTTGTATCTCTGCTTCTGTCTCCTTGAACCCCAGTCGGCCTCGGCAGATGGCCGCTCACACTGAGCCTGGTTCTGCTGGAGGTTTCTTCCTGTTAAAAGGGAGTTTTTCCTCTCCACTGTCGCTACAAGCATGCTTAGTGTGGGGGATTGTATTTGAGTCGATGCAATCAACTGGTTTTCCTTAGATAGAAAACTTTGTATCAATTTGACTGTATGATCTGGTTGAACTGTAAAGTGCCTTGAGATGACATGTGTTGTGAATTTGGCGCTATATAAATAAACTGAATTGAATTGAATTGAATTACAGAAATCCCTCCTCTTGTTCTCTGTTTATCTGTTTTTTCTGATAAATTGTTGCTTAATATAACTTTCCAGGAAGGTGATGTTTTCCAAAGAATATTTTACAGAAATTTTTTTTTCCCTCTCTGACCCACAGCCAGACAGAGACAGCCACATTTTTCTGAGTCAGCCACCTCCTCCGTTAGTGCCCAAGCTGCAGAGAAGCGGGAAGGAGTTCCATGATCCCAGCCTATCAGACGCCCAGTATCACATCAACAGCTGGGGCTGACCTGCCGCACTCAGGAGAATCTTTATTAATCCGCTGTAAATATAAATTCAAACCGACATGTAGATAAAGTATTTATTACTTTGATGTGTGCCAAAACATGGTGGCATGGTGGCTGGAAAATTATTCTGGCTGATAATTTCTTAGAACCGGAAAGGAAACCAGGCCATGACCCGGTTTAGAGCAGAACATAGCTGCAGAGATGTTAGATACACTGATAAAAAAAGCTAGGACTGGAGAAGTTGTACATACCTGTATGTAGAGCTTTACTAATAAAGATTTTTTTAAATGAACATGAGTTGCTTACTGAGCACAACATTATACAAGTATCTGTATTTATCTCAGAGCTGAAACATTTACAGCAGTAGGCAGAGTTCCAGTGTTTTACTGCAGTCATATCAACAATGGGATCAGGATTTAAAGCAAAAGCTTGCATCTGTGTCAAACGTTACTGAATATAAATTACAGTGATAAAAAGGGAAAAAAAAAAGGTTCAAACTCTTAATACACGACACAATCTACAGTAAAATACATATACATCAGAATCTGGAGGAATATAAATACGCACGCTGCAACAGTTTAAATTACAACAAAGAGCTATTTGACAGGAAGTCCAAAACAGTTCATGTGCCACTGGAAGAGTTGATTATAGTGGTCGATCATCAGGTCTCAGCTCAGTTACACTGGGCTGCTCTGCATCTGAGGCGTTGGTGCTGCCTGAGAGGAGCTACAGTGGATCAGAGCTCAGCTGTAGCAGTTACATTTTATTAGATCAGCGTCTCTGAAACTAGAGATGCTATAGAAACCCTATTTCTCACACAGTTGAGTAAATGTAATAAAAGGTTGATTATGGGCTCCAGTCAGGCATCCAGATCCACTTATCATGAACGCAAATGTCATATTAATTTCATGCTTATCAGACTTTTATGATATTTGTCAAAATATGGCCAAATATTGACAAACATGATTGAAATTTAAATGTCTAAAAGAGCTTATTAGCTGGTAGTCAGTGTGGTCCAGAAATCTCTGCTGCACAAATCGGCAGATTTCCTTCCCATTTTAATTAATGGATATAAATCTTTTATTAAGGTTATTTTGTTTCAAGACTATTTGTGCATTGTAAGTGTGAATTTGAAAATGTAAAGAGATTGTAACGTTCTAATTTTTGTATTTGTAAATTCACAAGTACAGTTTTTTTTTTTTTGCCCCTGTTCAAATTTCAAGTACAAGTATACAGATTATGTTCTACAATTTGCACATCAAAAACCTCTTAAATTCTCAGTTTTGCTCGCGCTGCAGCGTGAGCAAAACTGCGGGCAATACTCTACAAATACAAAACTTAGAATATAACTCTCTCCACAACTTCAAATTTAAAGCTACAGTGTGTAATAATTACAGGCATATAAATTCAGAAATTTAATATATTATACATAACTATGTTATTTATCATCACCTATGAGCTCAGCTTTTTAACCATAACATTTGCGTTGCCTTAGAATTCGTTATTTATAATTACATAGGAGCGGGTCTCGCAGCCATGGAGGCTGACATCTTTGCGCTACGGCAGCGCAGAGGCAACAAACTAGCGATTGCGAGATCTCCCATGACGCTCGAAAATAACTACGGCAAGTTGAGAGAGATGAACTGAGACGGTACTGAACAGTAGATGGCAGTATTATGCCTGAGAAGCGTTTAGTCTGCCTGAAACCAAAGAAGAAGAAGAAGCAGGTATACTGCGCCTCTGTAACAAGAAAGGTAAACAAGGCGGCAGGCGTGAGTGACTTTGCAAACTGTTTGGCACTGTGTGGCCAAACATCAGACGAATGGAGGATCATGCCTACTCTGTATCACAACGAAAAGCGGCGGACACCGAACCCCCGTCATCTAAGAAGCGGAAACACGACGAGAATAAACGCAAGAGTGACAAGAAACGACAAAAAACACGGATCAACATTGGCACGGCATTTACACGATGGAAGTCACTGATGGAGGAAAAAGGTTTTCAAAGTGACGCTCAAGTTGCCAGTTTTCTCTTGGACAGGTAATTAATCCTATACACACAATTGTCTAATATCACTGCAGTTTTTGGAGTACAGGATGCTCAGACCTGTCTAAAACAATAACATGCTGCGTGATGATGCTGTTACTCTCCAGTATACTTATTCAGCAACGTCCCTGACGTTTCACAGGTAATGATTCAGTAATTTTCTGTAAAATAATTTTCTGGATATATACCTCGGTTACTTCTCTCCGGCTCCTTTGGAGATCTTCAAGCCTTTCCTCCTCTGCTCTCACCCCGCTGGCTCCCCTCTCTCGCCTGGCCCCAGCTGCACGCTCACCCCGGCCTCTCTGCCCTCTTCCTTTCCCTCTTCCTTGCCTTGTAACCCCCGTGCCACAAACAAGACTTGGACTCTGTAAACGGGGAATATATATTCTTCCAGCGAACACAATCTCGCTGTTAAACTAATGACTACAATTACTTCGTCTGTTTATATCACCATGCAAAGCAGCTCACCAAAACGTCACAACGACGTAGAAAAAATAACGGGTATATTTATTATCTTAAGTCTACATGAAATCTATACCCTACACAGACTAATGAAATACTATCTGTAAAATTATCTATGTAAACAAACCTCATCACTTGAGAAGGTAGGTGATGCGGACGTCGTGGAAGACATTTTGTCCCGTAACGCTCGCCGTACTGTTGGGGGGGAGAAGCGGTGGGGGGGAGACGTTCATGTTGCTGCAGTCTGCAGTCTGACCGCTAGATGTCGCTGAAAATTACACACTGTAGCTTTAAAACTACAATCCACAAATAATTTGGAAACAAAATAACCTTCATATAGTTTTACTTAAGGAAATTATCATCACCATTGTTCCTGTTAAAAAGGAATAAAGAGGCAAACTGTTTTATTTAGTTATTAGCTTCAGATGTCTTTTGACGTGTTTTAAATGTTTTTATTGCATCGTATGTTGTTTGTTTTAATATAAAAAGGTTTATCACCCTGAAGAAAAGGAAAAACAACCTTCTCAGTTTTAAATATCAAAGATGACCCTGAAGCTTTGGTTTAAGTTTGGCGTAGCAGTTTCAGTTTGTTTCACTAAATAGTTTTAAACAAGCTCAGTTTTATACATACAGGCCCAGTAAAATTGGGCAAATGCAGCAATTAACAACACTTGGATAAAATTCAGATTGGAAAATTCATCAGTTTGATTTTTTTTTTCTTAAATAGGCAGAGCTATTTTTTTTTTTTTTTTTTTTTTACATAATCCGTACATTTGTATTAGATTGACATTCTGGGTCATTTAAAAACCTGGATGCTAGCCTGCTTTTTTTTCCAAAAAGTTGTTTTGATGTGAATTTGGGTTTATTGTCCACCTGAAACACCAAATTATGCTTAACAATGACTAAAGGCTATTAAATAATGACAGATCCTGGAGCAACAGCATTCCTGTCCACTCTGAAGATATTTGTACCATGGACTGAGAGGGAGTTAACAAAGACATAAAAATAAAAAGCGCCATTAAACATGTCTGACAGTGTAAGCTGACCAGGAAAATGTTGTATTATGTTTCACAAGGAAAATGTTTAGGTGAGTGAAGCTAAGAATTTTCTAATCTCAAAAAACAAGCATGGTGGTTGTGGTATCATGCTGGGGGCCCGTTCAGCTGTAAGCAGAACTGATTCTTTACACAAAGAATGAGGAAGACAATCCTCCAAACCTTCAGCTTCATCACAAATTAAGAGCTAGAACTTACAATTCAGACACAGCTTGTGTTACAGCAGGACAAATATCCGAACACATCAATATGTTCAGCTTCATGTTAGCAAAGAAGCTAATGTGAAGCTATTGGACAAAAGCTGCTGGAATTACCCACATTTAACACAACTTTTGAAAAATCCTCTGAATCAATCCTGAACCTCAGAAGCAATTTGAATGATATAAAAAAGTAAAGCAAAGATCCAAATCCCTTGTTTTGTAGAAAATTGTGTCTTTTATGATCAATTCTACTCAGAAAAAAAAAACAATATTGTCTAAATCATTAAAAAATCCACAACAATGACATTAATGCAGATGGTTGTAAGTGAACTTTTGACCAGAACTGTTCATGTTTATTTATGTTTTAAAACAGCCATTTATTTTCCTTATTTACTGTTTACTCGTATAAAAAAAGTCTAGCCTATCAATCATTTGGGGGTCACTTCACAGACCGTATAATAAGAGAAATATATCCCACACAGCTTTATATTGAAGTGTTTTTATATATACATTGTTTTCAGTAGTAAAAAGTGCATCATTATTTGGGTTTCTATTTTCAGCAGCAAAAGTTTTGCCAGTATTTACAGCAGCAGGATGGAGAGTTTTAAAAATGACTTTTAAAAAAAAGTCCATGTTTTGCAGAAACGTATGCCCCTCTGACTTAACCAAATTATAGATTTTGGGAACATAGTTTAAACAGAAAATTGTTGCTTTCGGCACAGGGAGATGCATTGTCTCAGGATTCTTGTTTCTGTATCTGGTAAACAGAAAAACAGTAGTTTGCAAAAACACCAACACTGTTTTTATATCCAGGTAGAAAGGAGCCAGTTTTTCTTTTACTCTTTTAAAGGAGCTGGAACAGTTGCTCATTAAAAATACTTTCTTTTTTTCAAGGTAGTTTAAGTCAAGAATTAGATGAAAACTAAACTATGATAAAATACAGTTGCATCTGGAAATAATGTTTCACGTATGTCCTGGATTTTTCTCCTTTTTTCCTATTTGGATTTGTCCTCTTGAAAATCTATAAGTAATTACCGTACTAAATAATTTTTCATACAATTCAGTGAATTTTGAAATCGAACAATTGCTCTGCAGCCTAGAAGCTTTTTATGTCTCTATTAATCTTCTGAGTTTATTTTTAGATACCTCTCCAATATTGAAATTGGCTAAATGACATATGGTCGAACTGTAATACTGCAACTCTGGTCCTACCATTTCTTCTATGTCTTTATCTTATCCTGTTTATTCGTGTTACATAAATGCATTAGAAAACCCCAAAATGATTTGGACATCATCCCCATATTAGGATAAGATTGATCTCTGTATTGTGCAGAATCACTGACCCTTTAGATTCCAATAAAATGGTTCCTTGGTGTCAAAGTCTAAAGAGTTTTAATTTAATAATTTTTGCACATTCCTCTAAGGGCTCTAAACTAAAAATATCATGTGTACTGTATCAAAGTGTTTCAGCAGCAAAAATTTGATAACAAGCATGATTCCTGTGCTCTGCCAGGCATTTGATTGCATGGAAGAATCTGAAGGGATATTCTTCATCATAAATTGTATTGTTCCAGTTTTTTTCAGCATGTTTCCCAATTTTTGAAAAAAAAAGCCCTGAAAAGAAACATTAAGAATAAATTATTTGATCACGAAAATGCAAAAAATATTTCTAGAAGCTCATATTGGTTGAAAGCCTCCAACTAAAAATTGTACAAATTAATAAAAAGTTTAGCTTTCTTAAAGAAAAGAAGAGAAAAAGTCTTATTTCATCACCTGCTAACTGCAAAGGCCATACATCCATCTAAAAGGAAAACAATCAGTAGTTTAAAAAGTTGAAGCGTGGCAGTGAAAGGTTTCAGTCCTCCCCCTTCAGCTTCTGTGTGACACATTTGATGCGGATATTTTCTCGGAGGTTGCGGAGGCGCGCGCTGCGACTCGTGATTTCTTCCACATAGGTTTTGGGGAACCAGCCCCGCTCCCCATCTGACAGCCTGATGCCCTCCACCCATCCTGTAGAAACATATCAAATATCTTTCACTGACATCCATAGTGCAGTTGAAATGCATTGACATTATGCTTTAAACTCATTTAGTCACGATGCAGTTACAAACCTTACTGTATTTCAACAAATTTTCAGGTGTTAGACAGAAATAAAAGAAGTCCATAAATGTAAAGTGATTTTTACGACTTTCTTTAAATAACAACCTCAAAAACCTTTCTTGATAAATTTATCTAGCAGTGTGAGACTGGCATGAGAGCAGCTGTAAATATCAGTCTTGGCAAAAATGCTGAATTTCATATGGGCCTGGAATTTGACAACACCATTAAAGCACATGATATGTTTTGATTTAAACCACCACAGTCTCTACTTGGCTGTATGTTTGAGTCTTCTTTCTTTGCTTGTAAATTAAAATCAACCCCAGTTTAAAAACGTTTTTCTTCGTCTTTCCATCAAATTTTCCCAATATTTTGCATGTAGACTAAAACGTTAAATTTAACTGATTTTTCTTTTTTGACCAGAGAAACAATAAATTAAAGTACTAATAAGGTGCTCACACATGTAAAGAAATGCTTTTTTAGATTCAAAGGTGGAAAAAAATTTTGAAAAAAATGTATCTTTTTTCTTCATTTCCAATTTGCTACTATTTTCTGGTTAATGAAGAAATCATAAACAAGTTTTTATGGTTGTTTATTGCAATGCAAAAAAATTTAAGTCGAGTATTAAATGTCTTAAATCGGTCCTCCTGACTCTTACCATCACTTGTAATAGTTTTAGCATGAAGAATGTCAGCTTTTTCCAGAGTTAACTCATCGTGCTCTTGAGCCTGGTAGCTTTTAATGCACTGAACCTGGGATATATCTGCAAAATAACACAGAAAAAATTATTTAAAGGTATATCCTCATATAATGCGCACACTCAGATCTCTGCTTACCATCATTTTCACTGGCCTGCTCAATGTCTTCAAACGGATCAGATGGAAACATTGCTGTGATCCATCTCTGCTTGCTACTCCTTGCCAGACAGAAGCAGCAACAGCAGTTAGCTTTTAGCAGCTCTGAAGGAAGATGATGCTAGAGAGTTTTTTTTTTTTTTTGTCTTACTCTGTGTGAGATTTGAGTAGGATCTGATGTTTGAGCTGCTGGCCTTCACAGAGCTGCAGATGGAAGATAAAGCCTGAGATGCCTTGCAGCTTCTGGCTGAGATCCTTCACTTTCAGCTCTCCAATCTTAGCATGCACAAATACCATGAACTTCCAGGTACTGTAACAACATCAACAAAAAGGTTTTAGCCATCATTAAACAAAATATAATACAGATATGTAATAAGACTTAAAACTGGTTAACAACTTTTTGTCAAAATAGTTAAAAAAGTTCATGATCTTATTTTTCACTGGTTGGAAATAACCCTTTAAAGCCAATTGTATCATATTTGATACATACGTTTTTGAGACCTATACATCATTAGTGTTATATTTTTGTTCTTGACAACCCTGACGTACACAATAAGATGCATGTAGTGAACAGAAAACCTTTAAAAGATTATAGAGAAATGCCTTATGTATCAAATTTGATGTAAATAAATGATCTACGGTAATTTAACTTATACAACAATTCTTTTTTGATGTCATTTATCAGAAAGTTCAAGGACAACCCTAATTTAAAGAAAATGGAATTCTGTCAATTATTTCATGGTCCAGGCTTTAAAGGGTTAAGCATAAAATCCAAACTATTGTGTGAAACCAACAGTGTATAATTCCCTCTATCATAATTCACATTATTATTGTTTTTCAGTGTTGGAGAATTTACCAGTTTTATAAAGATTGTAGAGATTATTTCCAAGCCAACAATTAGAAAGACTAAAAAGATTAAAAAGAAATGAAATTTGATCAGATTTTTGTTCCCAGTCGGAGCTTTAAGTCCACATCTTTTAATCCTGATATGAATAGGTTTTATTTCTATTTCCCTGTATCCTAATGTTCTTTTTATTTAAACCAGGGGTAATCAATTAAAAATCAGCAGGGTCCGAATAAAGAAAATCAACAACCAGTAAAGGTCCGGAGACATTTTTTATTACAATCTGTTACTCTAAGGAACAAGTTAATTAAGAATTTAACACTCAAATAAAATGAGGTGTTTATTCATCCATGTTATACATTGATTTTTTTAATAAATACATATATATAAAAAAGAACACGTTTTATACTCCATTTTATAATGGGGGGGGGGGGGGGGGGGTGTCTTTTGAAGTTGAGAACAAAAATCTGGTATATAGACAATTTCATGATTCACATATTTTATAAAACACCTGAACTGAAAACCTGAAATTCTTTTTTTTTTTTTTCTTTTTTTCTGGCTTAATGAGAGCAGTGGGCTTTATGCTGCCCTGCAAGGCTTTAAACCTGGGTTTGAATGGAGACAAAGCCATTCTCAAGAACATATCAAGGTGCTCATTTTGAGCCTGGATCAATATATATTTTTGATTCTGTTCATGGTGGAGAGTCCTGCTTCAAAGCAGTACACAGCTCATTGGCTAATTTGTATCAGGTTTTATGTCCAGCTATGGTGGTTAAACATTTTGAAGTTGAGAATCTGGTTCCATTTTAATTTTTTTAACTTCATGTTTTATTTTCTGAACTAAGTTCCCATCTTGTTCCTGACATCTTTACGTTACCTTAATTTTATAATTTTATTTGTTGTTTTTCTTTGTTTAATCCTAATTATGGCTTCCAGCTGTTTTTATCCAGTTGGTATTTTTGACTGCTCTGGATAACATAAGATAATATTTTTCTTTTAACTAAATAATAACAGTTAGGAATAAATGTTTTAATATCATTAAATTCAGGTTAATTCATAAATACTTCATTAATTCCAAAGGGAAATTTAATTCATTCATATGGTTTTCTTAATCATTTATTGTATGTGTTTATAGCTGCGGGCAGAAAGGATCTACTGTATTGATCTGTCTTGCACAGATCAATGTGTAGAAGCCACTTACTGCAGACACTCTTCTTTAAAAATAATTTGAAGAGGATGCTCTCTTTTTTCACTTTATGTAGCAGTGTTCCTTGTTAAATAATCTCCGGAGGTTCAAAGGGAGTTCCTACAAAAGCACCAACCTTCTTTTTTAGCTTGTTGAGCTTTTTTAAGTCATTTGCTTAAATACTGTTACCCCAACAGACGATGGCAGAAGAGATCGCACTCTCCACATAGGACTAAAAGAAGATATGTAGCATCTTGTTGCAAACACCGAAGGACTTAAGCTTCCTTTAGGAAGTGCAATCTAATCTGTCCCTTCCTTGTGATGCTTCACAGATTCGTCTCCAGTTGAATTTGTTGTTCAAATGGACACCAAGGTATTTATGCTGCTTAAACACCTCCACTGATGTGAACAGGATTCAACTCGTTCCTGTTTCTGCTGAAATCTACAATAATCTCCCTTGGTTTGTTTACATTCCGGATCAGATGATTGTTTTCACACCATTCCACTAAGCGGTTCACCAGCTCCTTGTTCTCAACTCCTTGTTCATCTTTGATCCACCCAATGACTGCAGAGTCATCTGAGTATTTCTGTAGATGACAGAACTCTGTCTGGTACTGGAAGTCAGATGTGTACAGAGTAAAGACCGATTTATACTCAGAAACCAGGTCGTCTGCGTGTGTGTAGCAGTGAAAGCAAATGTGCCCCCGCGCCTTCCGCAGACACACTGGTGCACCTCTCTAAAACTGTAGGTGACCGCAGACAGTGCTGCAGACAGCAGGCCTCTGATTGGTCAAATATACATCCGCTCTACACTATGCGTTTTTCCTGTTAATACCTTAGCGGCTTGTTTTGTTTGTATGACCGCCATTGTGGAAAGCGACTCGTGAAGTTGGACCAGCTAGAACAGTGTGGTGCGCAAGAAAGATGGGACCCTTTTTCCACTTGTTTCCCTCCTCTTTTTCACCCTCATGTCCCTCCGTTGTCACTTAACCTTGCCCCCAGTTCCTCACCGTTTCTGCCATATCTAGACCCACAGTTCGTCATTGTCCCTCTAGCGCTGTGGAGTGGAATAACATAGTGCCTACCATGCTTCAATACTGGGCTTAAATCAAAAATATCTGCGACAAGATCACTGCAACACACTGCTGCAGGAGTATAACCAGCCCTTATGAAGAACTGGAGAGAGTACCGTCCCCTGTGGTCCCTCTGTGCTGCTGACTACTTGATTAGACACCTGACCCTTCAGTCTAACTGTGGTCTGTTTGTCTTTGATCCAGGTGAGTATTGATGAGTCTGCACAGTCCTATGGAGTTTCTCACAAAGAAAGTATGGTTGATTTGTATTAAATGCACTGCAGAAATCGAAGAACATGGTCCTCACGGTGCTGTTTACCTTGTCTAAATGACTGTGGATTTGTTAAAGCAGTTGTATTATGGCATCTTTAACTCCAATTCCATGGTGATAAACAAACTGCAGGGGGTCCTGATAGATGTGTGTTTGTTTTCTGAGGGGAACCAACAGAAGTCTCTCTAGGACCTTCATGATGTAGAATGTGAGAACAACAGGTCTATAGTCCCTGAGGATTGTTGGCTGAGTTTTCTTTGACTCTGGAACAACGCAGGATGACTTCAACATTCAACTTCAACATTAATGGAACTGTCTCCTGGGTCGGACTAAGCTTGAAGAGGTGCTGTAGAAGCCAACAGAGCTGCTCTGCACAGGACTTCAGGCTTCTGGGGTTGAAACCATCAGGACCTGGTGACTTAGTTGCCTCTTCACTTGACTTTTAGAGACAGAAAGGTGAAAGGTGGAGGTAGCTGCACCATCTTCTTATTTGGCAGATGTACTTCATATTGAACCCACCCAGATAATGTTGCTTAGGGGCCTATTGTTGTGTCGTTATACCATTCGTCATATTTAATATGGACTAAATAAATTGGATATTATTGGGAACTTTGAGCCTCAAAAAAGTCCTTCAGTATTGAAAAATATAGAATGTTTTGAGTCTTTGTCTTAGCATTGATAAAGAGTTAGAAACTGCACTGTATTTTGATTAATATCCATGCAGTAAATCTACAAGTTTAGCCATTCTATGGGCAAACGTCTGTTCACCTCTCTCAGTTTTTACAATCTGAAGAAACAACAGAAAAAATAATCTGTTTAGAATAAATATTTCTTATGAGGCCTTACAATTTGAGGTCTAATACCACAGAGACTATAACTCACTCCTTCCTCCTGGACAGCAGCAGGCAGTCGTTAAACAAGTGGAGGTACACAGGCTTGGTGGGTAGCTTGAGTTTTGATCCTGAAATGCTCATCGTCTGAGTGTCCACTTCCAGGAGTTCACCATGTTTAACTAACCAGCGGGACTGGGATATGAGGGGAAATATCTGTGGGGAAAAAATAGGACAAATTACAGATTTAGACTTGGATGAAGAGAATCAAAACTGCTAAAAGCAAAATCCTAAAGCAACTAACTTTGCCCTCAAAGTGGATTTTCTTGTTTAGGTGAATAAGTTCCTCCATCCTCTTCATCGACTGAACGCTGGAATTACAATCTCTGATGATCTAAGAATGCAAACACCAACACTGTTATTACTGTTAAGCCTCACTGGTAATAATACTGGTATTCCAGCCATTATAGGTGATGATCACCACCTTTTTTAGCTCATTGAAAGCCTTTGTGGCGGTGTCCTCATCTCGGGAGCCTGGTGTTGTCCTCTTTAGGATGTTCTGAGAAATAAATATGTTTTTTTTTAAGGTGGGCCAAAAGGTAAATTGTATTTTCCCAGCTCTCGTCAAAAACTTAACAGGTGCAATTATTACCACATCTACCGGCATATTTTAAACATGGGCATGAACCCTTACTATGAATGCTCAACATCATACCTCCACCAGCATTTTGAGGCGTGTGATCCTCTGAAATGGGAGGATAAGAAAAGAGGTCAGAGGAAGCCTTTGACAGATGGGGTCCTCCTCCAGGCGAGCCAGGATGCCAGGGAAACGAGGGTTTTCCTGCCTGAGGGGACATTTAAAATCAAAAACCTGTATGACTATTAGGTTAATCAAAATTCCAGGTGTTTTTACTAGCCCAGACAAGAGAAATAACACAAGCAGAATCTAAGTTATGTTGGACTAAGCAAAACAATGGTATATTTTGCATTTTATTTTAGATTTAGACAAAAACACTTTATGCTGAACACAGGGGCTCTTAAGGAGTCTTTAAATTTCTAAAAGCATTTGCTTGCCTTGATTAGTTTTAAACCAGCAATCAGGGATAACCTGTTTTTTGATAATCTGTATACTTCGTTATTCAAGGAGTTATAGTTTAAATCACAAGAAACACCAATGAATGCTCCGAAGAGTCTATAAAACACACAGAATGTCACCAGTTTGCTACAAAACAGCATCTAGATTAACAGTAAATTCAGACCCCTCAATCCTTTACATATGTCACTTCCCAGCCACCAACATCAGTATATTTTATTGGGATTTTAGGTGAAAAACCAACAATAGAATGAGCAACCACAAAACAGGCTTAAATCGGAGGCAATTGGATTTCCCCGCAGTTTTTTTACTGAGTTCTGACACCTATTCAGGAAGACAAATACTCTTACAGGGGATGAAAGACTGAGAAAAAGTCAGTTGCCTCTGATTTTGGTCTACCTTGCTGTCCCCATAACTCAGCACGAATAAAACAAGGGTTTACATTTTGGGGACAAAGCAAATGTGGAAAACAATTTACTCTGGCTGGTTAAGGATAAAACTTCACTTTTTGTTTTAATGTACAAAAAGTGACTAATGTTGAAAATTAACATAAGTCAGCCCAGAAACACCATCTGAGCCATGAAGCATGGCATTAGAGCATTATTCCATAGGAAAATACTCCTCTCTGCAGAGAGATGCAAGTTGGTCAGAGTTCATGGGCGTAATTGAAAACAAATAAATGCCACACTTTTTCAGTTTGAAAATGTGAATCAGCCACCCTTTTTCTTACTCTAAACAATTGTGTTACTGTATTTAAGTGGCCAAACTTTTGTATTTGTGCCTCCGCACTAAAGCAACTAAGAGATATGAATATGAAAAAAACTCTTGGCAAAGATTGCAGTAACGTTGTGGGTTCATGTCGGAACAGACTCACTGAACATGAACCAAAAAACAATTACTTACAGCAAACGCTGGTATGTTTGCTCCTGATATGCCTGGTTGGTTACGTAAGGCAAATAGACTCTTCGCAGGGCCGGGCAGTGATCCAGGACTATGTCACACACATCAAAACGGAGAATGTCTTTCTCCAGCCTGTGCTCCAGGTCCTGAAGGAACCTACAGACAGTGATGGGGTAGAAAACACTCTCAAAGAGCGACATATCTCTGCTTAAGGTGTAAAAACGCAGAGTCTGAATGCAGTGGAGTCAATCAGCTGCAGATCTCTTCACCTCTCACTGACATCTTTGACTTCAGGCAGCTTGGAGAAGAGCCACTGCTTCTCCTTAGCACCAAGGCACTCAGCAAGCTCCTGAGACAGCATGAAGTGGTCCACAGCGATTGTCAGGCTACGAATGTACGACGCCTCAGATGTTACCAGCTCAAACTTTGCCTAAAGGGGAAAAACAGACAGTTTTAAAGAAAACAAACAAAGAATAAGCTTTAATCCAAAGGAAAGCAAGCTTGAACTTCTGTCACCTCCTGTAGTTTTCTTTCTTCGTTACTGAAGGTGTCTAACTGACCGCTGGTTCGCACGTCAGGTATATCCTGCCACAGTGCAAATGCAGAGCCTCGAGAAGAGCGAAAAGAGCTGGATGGAGAGAGATTTGAAGGAGAGGGAGTTCCATCTGATCCTTCATCTCTAAGCCCCTCCTCATCTGTTCCTGGATCCTTTCCTTGCTGCCTCTGGATCTCTCGGTTGATGGCAACATCGCTGTACTCCTGGTAGAGGATTGCTGCAAAAACAAGACGTTGATGGAATATGTCGGTACAGTAAGGAAAGGAAGAAGAGATGAGAAAGGAATAATTTATTAGCAAAGATTCTAGAATTTAGGTAAACTCACAGCTTGGCAAAAAACGTGAAAGGCGATTTGAGGTGGGTAAGAGTGATGATGTGCTTAAATCTTCTTCGATGGATTTCTTTCGCATTCTGTGAAACCACAACAACAGATTTTATTTAAATCCAAAGATGTCTTTGAAAGATGTATTCTCATATTGGTTTCTTATAACCCAAGTTTAGTGCTCCACCGATGTAAAGGCATCCCATTGTCACCACTGGGCAGGGGAGGTCCAGTTCCAACAGGACTGCAGATACCGCTATCACTGGAGCCGCCTGAGCTGCGCAGTCTGGAGTTAGACTTATCTATAATAAAAAGGAAAGAAAAGAACAATTAATATGCGGGGCTGCACAGTGGTGCAGTGTGTAGCACTGTTGCGTTGCGGCAAGAAGGTTCCGGGATTGATATCTGGCCCAGAGTCTTTCTGCAAAAAGATAACTGTTAAGATAATTGGCTTTCTAAATTGTGCTTAAGTGTGAGTGATTGGTTGCATGGTTGAGCATCTCTGTGTTACCCCACCTTTCGCTTATAGACTGCAGAGGTAGACACTGGCCCCACCGCGATCCTAATGGAATAATGGGAAAAAGATGGATGGATGGATGGATGTATGGTTGCTAAATATGCATAAAAATCTCTGAGACTTTGGTTATTTGGAGAGGAGGGCATCTTGAACAGACCCTAGATCTGCTGGAACCGCCTTCCTGTTAAAAGAGAGTTATTATAGTAATGCACCTTTGCAGAATGTCTTCTTCCTCTCGCCACATTTCCAGTTTGATCACTTTCAGATAAAAGCCTCTATTCCAAATAAACAAGTTATTCCTGTCCACGGTTGCCACACCCTTGCTCAGGGTGAAGGATTGATGATTATCATCTTTTTACCAAAAATCATCAAAATGATTATATATTGGATTACGATTAAGATTTTACCACACTGCTTATGACTTAGTGTGGTTCTAATTAGATTGGTTGGAATATTTAGCATATTTTTCAAATGAATTCAGACTAAACTGGATTCGTACAAGTTTGAGGTGAATCTACTACCAATTAGTTTTTTGTTATTTCATCAGTTTTTTGCTCTTTTTTTCTACTAGTAAAAAAAAGAATTTCAGCTTTTTTCTCTGACGGCAAATCTTTTACCTCACAACACCTTCTAGCTAATTGGATTTTTGGTGAACCTTTGTTTTTTATACTCAGTAATGCCTAGTTAACACAGCAAGCTTTTAAAAGCTTTCAATTTTTGTCATTTTCTAAATCTAAGAGATCTTAGATATGATGTTATATGATGTTAAACTGTTGTAGATATAACAGGTTCCTTCTGGCTCTGTATAAAGCCTCAAAGTAGCACATTTCAGTTAAGAAAATTGTGAGAATACACAGTTTACATGGCCAATGAAGAGCACTGGAAGTGTTAGGTTTCTGTTTCTGTTATGTTCTGTTTTTCTTTTCATATTCAGTTTTGCTTTACTCCTTGTTTTCTAGTGTTAGTGGTTTTATTCTTATTTTGCTGTGTTCTCTGGTTTATTCTTAGTTACTGCTTCAGTCTTGGCTCTGTTTTGTTTTTCTTTTGAGTGTTTAGTCTTATTTTGCTCCATTTTTATTTTCTTAGTAGTCTAATTTTTATTTTGTTGTGTTTTGTGGTACTTTTCAGCTTTCTAGGTTTTTATTTGTTCCCCCCTGCTGCCCTCTTGTGTTCTCCTTTTTCTCTAGCTCTTTTCCTCTCCTGCCCTGTGCTCACCTGTTCCCATTCTGCTCATTAGTCTTCTCTTTGTCTCAGTCTCCTTTAAAGGAGAAGTTCGGTTTTTAACACTTTTAGCCCATTTTCTGTAGTGTCCAGGATGAAATCGAATGATCGACACCAAAATTTTGACAATTGGTCCTGTCTCTGCTTTTTGGCTAATTTAGAATCCACCCCTGGCTGCTTTAGAATGGCTTCCATAGAGCATGTCCGATAATGTCCTTAAAACAACCTTAAACGTTCTTTTTTTTAAATATGCTACTCACCGGGTCGTCAGCGCTGTTCAATGACGTTCCAAAAAAAGTTTCGTGAAGAAAAAACGTTCCTGTAGTGTTTTATTCAGCATTTTGTAAATCCCATTGAGTTCTGTTGGAATAGTCAATATTCCCCTGCCACCGGAAACGGAAATGGGGCCTGTTTAAACAGTTGTAGTCTTTTCGCTTCACTCTGTGTACTCCGACGTCGAGGTGCTAACGTCTCTGTTAAACACTTTAAAAAACCCTGAAAATGGAATACGAAAGGTGGATTCTTCATTCTCGACGTCGGAGTACACAGAGTGAAGCGAAAAGACTACAACTGTGTAAACAGGCCCCATTTCCATTTCCGGTGGCAGGGGAATATTGACTATTCCAACAGAACTCAATGGGATTTACAAAATGCTAAATAAAACACTACAGGAACGTTTTTTCTTTACGAAACTTTTTTTGGAACGTCATTGAACAGCGCTGACGACCCGGTGAGTAGCATATTTTAAAAAAAGAACGTTTAAGGTTGTTTTAAGGACATTATCGGACATGCTCTATGCAAGCCATTCTAAAGCAGCCAGGGGGTGATTCTAAATGAGCCAAAAAGCAGAGACAGGAGCAATTGTCAAAATTTTGGTGTCGATCATTCGATTTCATCCTGGACACTACAGAAAATGGGCTAAAAGTGTTAAAAACCGAACTTCTCCTTTAAATGCTCTCCCTCTTCAGTTCTTGTTTGCTGGGTCCTCGTCAATCTTCCTCCAACTCATCATTAAATCAATTATAAATTCACCTCTACCTTCCTGCCTCTGCTTTTAGGTCCTCTATCCACAAACAAATCCTGATAGGAAGACGAAATCAAGATATGTGTGAAGTTATTTCACCAGAGAAAAATATAACAAAACGTAGCAATGCTGGCTGAAGGAGTGGAAAGGGCTCTAACTGGTGAGTTTATTAGCTTGTTTTGTTTTTCCATGGAAAGTGCTTTCTGATCGGATAGGTGTCATCATATTCAACAGGTTGGGTCCTCAGAGAATGTCACACATGGTACGATATCAGGCTAAGGCAATCTAACGTGTTGGTTATACCCAATTATATGCTGAAGTGTTCCCAACATCCCTCCAAGACAAGAGGAGCAGGATTATCACATAAGACAAACTTACAGTAAGAGCCATCACAGCAATTGTGGCGAAATAAGGGACGATTAACATGTTGTCATGATCTTGGGGCTGATGTCCCATCTGATTACTCATTTCATTACCACTCATCAGATCCACCTGCTTCAGCCTCTATTTAACCAACATTCAGAGCAGCCATCAGGGCTAGATTTATTTAGAGTTGTTGGTGAGAAGTTTTATGGCATTACAGTGTTCTGATTGTCAGATCCTGACCCGTTCTGCCTCTGGACCTCTTTTTTGTTAAATTTAACTGTCTTTCTGCCTTCTATACTGGGTCCTTTTGTTCTGAGCCTAGAGATAGTGAAGGCATTATGACAGGAAAATAGCTGAAACACCCATCATACTTGTTTATGTATATCCACAAACATGTGTTGATAGACCTTAGAAAGATCAAAAATAAAAGCATTGATCATAGAACTGTTTAGGTGCTACTTTGATTCATGAGTTTTTAAAGAAAACCTTTACAAAAGTTTTCCTTGTGACACCTGTCATGCTGCAACCTAGACTGGACCATTAGAATACCACTGTTGTAAAGTTTTCAACATTTACAAAGTTTTCAAACTCCTAATTGATGTGCCATACTCTGTAAATTTGACTTACCCCTATTTTACTAAACTTGGTGTGATGACATTGCTCCAAGCTTTTTTCTCCCCTATCACTTAAACTTTTTCTTAATGATCTGGTAGTTGAAAACTTGACCACAATGTACAGACATGTTGATATACAGTAAGCAGGTAGAACAACTGAAGAGTGCGAAGGACCAGAGAAAAAGTTTAACATCCTATTTCAGCACCAGATCTAGTTAAAATACTATAAGAAAGCTTGGAGTATTAAAGGAGAGTATAAAAGTCTAAGGGTGTATCATAGCAGTACATCTTGGTTAAAGAAGTGCTACAAAGATTAGGGTAGTGTTTTCCACTCACAGTCAGAATTTGGGCTGAGGATGTTGGAGCTCTGCCTGTCTCTGGAAGACACCCGAGCAGACAGAGACTTCCCCAGCTTTAAGGTGAAAGAGTTCTTCCTTTGGGAGAGTTGTAGCCTTGATATCAGCTCTGAAGCCGAGAAACGACGGCGTTCTTGGTCAGTTTGTCGACCGCGTGGCAAAAAGCTCACTCCCGGGTGAAGCGATGTCTCCACAATACCACCTTCCTCCTCCTCCTCTGCTCCTGGTTCTGAGTCCTCTATTATCTGCAAGGGTTCTGAATGTATGCTGAAAATATCTTCTTGACTGATGTTTGGGAGATCTGGTACACTGTCGGTGGATGGAGGGTTTGAACCAGCCTCCAGGGAAGATAATCCACTGAGGTCTTCCTCCAGAAAAGATGCAAAAGGTCCGGGGAAGATGTAATCCGGCTCCAGAATGGGGCTGCCAAGTGATTCATCGCTCAGGGTGTCTGAAGAATAAACCTGCACCTTTCGCCCTGAGGACAAGAAAACAGCCCTTTCAGCCTAAACAAAAACATGTTAAAGAGTTTCTAAAGTCTGATTGTTCTGTCAACTCACGGATAGACTTCTGTTTTAAAGATCCCTGTGACGTCCTCCTCTGTGGCTGGCAGGTGTCCAAACCTTGAAAATCTGTACATTCTGGAGAGGAAGAGGAGTAAGGTACCTGAGAATCCAGTGAGTCTCTGTTTGAGTACAGGGAGGACAGGGGCAGGGACAGAGGGAGGCTAAGAGCTGCATGGAGAGGTCGGCAAACTGTTGTTATGGCCCGAGGCTTCTCACTTTGGTCCTGTCGAGATGTACTCGTGCCATTCTGCCAAACAACCTCAACCTCATTCTCACCATGTGATGAAGAGTTTACATTCAATCTGTGTTCATTGTCTGTGTTGTGGCTGCCTTTTTGCACGTCATTCAGTTCATTTAGAGTTTGTCTCAACCTATTAAATGATTGAGAGTGTAAGTCTGAAACGCTGCTCTGCCTTTGACAGCCAAGATTGTTTAATTTAGAAGGTGCTGGTTGTTGTAGCTCAATGAATGCCAGCGTTTCCTCCTGGCACACAGCCACATGCTTGTGATGGATGGGATGGAGGAGAGGCCGACCCTCCCTGGACTCGCTGGAACCTTGAGACTCTGCTGAGCTTGGGATCCACATGCTGGGGCTCTCTCCTCGGCAGCGAAAAGCGTGAAGGTGGGGATGGAAGTCAGGAAAATGTGAGAATCCATACCCAGGGAGCATGGCTAGATGGCCACATGGAAGCTGTAGTAACAGAGATTATAAACAAAACACTGTTAATTTAAAGGCATGTATTAGGGATGCAAAGGTTAATCAGTGTGGGACGATTACAAAGGTTTAATGCAGCCTCATTGAGTTTTAAATGTTGTTTTCATTAAATAGTTGTTTCTATTTTATCTTCTGAAACCATCTCTTCTCTTTGCATATTAAACCTTAGCTTGCAGGCATAAAATTTAAATAACTCCAAATTTTTCCCAGTTTTTAGATTCTTGATCAGGAGTGATGAGGAACCTTTAACTACAGTCATCTAGGGTTCCTTTGATAGAAAATCTTAAACCAATCTGAGTTCATGATTTGAGTGAATTGGCTCTGTAAAGTGCCTTGAGATGACATTTTTTGTGAATTGCTGCTATGTATAATTAAACTGAAGTGAGTAAGGTTTAGCTTGGTGCATTCAAAAAAGCATAATACTAAACCCTACTCATGATGCGCACATTCCAGGAGTATAACTGTGGAGTAGTGCTGGACATCTAATAGTCAAGGCTGTTCTTCACTGATAGACACACATACTGACGTCTGGTCTGGTGTGTCTCCTGAGCCGGGCCTTCCTGCTCTAATTAAAGACTTCTTTCCACATGGCATCCAACCCCTGTACTTAAGATCTTTAAACACAGTGACACGCCAGCCTCAAACAGAACGCCACAGTGGTAGGACGAACAGAAAAAATACAGCACATCCTCCACACTCTCACCTTTCACTTACACCAAGCACTCACTCAGGCTGTCAATCTAATTAATAGCAGGTATCTTTGCCAAATTTGATATTTACAGATAACATCTGTTCAGAGCAAGATATGGGTCAAAACTGTAGGTCACGTGACAAGTGTGTTGAAACCCACACCAGAGGAGCTCTCTTGCTTTTTATGCCTCTGCTTCCTGAGCTGCTAATCCTTGAGTTCTGCTTTAAACACCTGTTACAGGAACTCTGACGTGCAGCATCTGTGCACAAGGGAAAGCAAAGATTCTTGCATTTGGTCATTGATGTGCAGCTATTGCTATAAGATTAAGGTAACAATACCTAATTCTTTCATTTTTAAGCAGCAAGTACTTTTTCTTTCGCCATCTCTCAGGTTCTTGGGCATGGAGTTGTGAGGAAAGCAGGGCTAAAAGAAAGTCTGGGAAAAGTATTATTTTAACTCAGGGTGCAAAGTTTGGGTTACTTTAATTACCAACACCCTACACCTATGTAAGAGAAGATAATAAGTCCAGAAAAAAGGGAAAAAAGAGAGAAAGATAAGGAAACAAAACATAAAATCCTTAAAACACACATGAATACATCATGGATTGTTAGTTAGTTTATTATTTTTTTCTTGGCTTGTGTTTTCTTGTGTTTTTTTATGTTTGATATCTGTGCATGCATTTGTTTACTTCTTCTGTATTTCTGTTCAGCCTTCTGTATATTTATTTGTCTCCATTTCATAACATTCAATCCAATCCGTCTCATTTAGTCCACCTGTCCTTGCCTATCAGGCTAATGACGCTCACCTGTTTAACCTGCTATTTAACCTCCTAATTCCTCTTTGTTCTCCCCTGGATTCTTTTCTTTCTGTGCATGCTTGGCATTGTTTCTGTTATTCTGACCGCGTTCCATGTCCTGTTTTTATAGTGCCCTACGGTAAGTTTTTGCCTTTTCATTAAAGCCTTATATTTATCATTCCTCTTAGAGAGCCTGCACTTGGATCCAGGTCAAAGACAGAACTTTACAACAAAAGTATTTAAATCCACACAAAGACAAACAAAATTAATTATGATAAATGAAATCTACAAACACATACGTTCAATAGAGCATATTTACTTGAGTAATTAATGCTGCAAGAGCAATTTGAACAAATTCCATTTTTCCTATGAGGAACTTAAGTTATGGGGAACATAAGTTTAGCTTTGATTGTAAGAGTTCTGCAGAATAAGTTTGAAGACAAACGTTGCATACCTTTGATGGGAGGAGTCTCAATATTTCCCCCTCAAAGGCAAAAACCTGGTGACTTCTCTGTGTTAGCTGCAAGCTCAGCTCAGGCACAGCATAAAGATATATGTGCCTTAACAAAGGTGTATAGTAACTGAACTACATTTTATTTTTTTATAGTATTGATTGTTTTTATTAACAAGTTTTTTTTTATTCAGACTTTTACTTCTATTTCTATACATAAGACAATAAAAATTTGATTGAGAATGTTTAATTTATTTCTTTAAATAAAAAATTGAGATATCTAAAATTTGATAACTAAAAATTTAAATATGACTGAAATTTATTTTGAAAGGACTTGTTTTTGTGGAATCAACAAGCATTTTACAGGATGCCTCTGTAAAAACAAAAATATTGATTTTATTTTATTTGCTTTCAGGGGTCAGAAATGTCTTTATTCTACTACATTTTATACTAAATCCCTACTATCCCCCCCCCCACAATCTGTGCCAGTACTGTTTACATTTCCTTTTCACTGTTTACATTTCCTTTTAATATATTTATATATATTTTTTGTAACTGTTTACATTTCCTTTTCCTTTTAATATATTTATATATTTTTTTTTATATATTTTTTATTTTTATTTTTATTTCATGGTAGCTGTTATGGAAGTCCCAAATCTCATTGTATCTGTCGCAGAATATGACAATAAAGGCTTTTTGACTTTTTGACTTTGACTTTGACTAAATTTTTTCATAGATTCTGTAAACCCAAGTTACTGCCTGTAAATTATTTTATTTTTTGGATGCATGTCATTATGTATGATGGCTTTTGTGTTATTCTGGGTTCTTATGGACAGTGTTGTTTGAATACCATGCTTCTTAGGGCTAAGTGAAATAAAGGACCAACAAAAAAGCAGGTTGTCTTGCTTTTTTAATGTACAAAAATACTTTGTACTTTCACTTTGCCAAATATTGTGAACAGATTTCCGACTTTTACTGAAGTTGTTTTTTAACCAGTGATTTTCACACTGTGGTTTTAACCATTATAGGAAGACAGTGGCTCCAGATGTAGGAGTTAATCCTAACTGCTGGGTTACCAGTTTGAATGCCCACTCTCTCTGTCTCAGTCGTTGTCCCCGGGCAAGACACCTCAGGTAGCATCAGACACTCCGCTTGCCTTCTGCCGGTGGCCAAACAACCCGGTGGTGCTAAATGTATGGGTGAATTGCATTAAAAGGAATTTACCTCTATAAAAAGGTTATGAATTATTTTGGGTTTTGTGTGGGTGTGCTAAAGTTCTGTTGTCCCTTTACCTCTAAATCTCCCCTCCCATCCGTCAAACAAGTAACAATAGCCAAAATAACATCACAAATGTCAATATTTTATGTTGGTTACAATTTTGTGAACTAATGTGTTTAAACATAATCAAAACAAATTAAAGGGACACCAACTATACAACTAAATCAATAAAACATGTAAATGACAACTGGTTTATTCAGAATTCAGGTAATTTATAGTTATTTATAAAAAGGCCGGGTGCCCAGAAAAGAGTTAAAACGTGCATCAGGCAACAAATGTTGACTCTAAATCCAAGTGAATGTTGGAGCAATTAGCTTAGCTCCTTGTAAATGTAATTCAGTCAGCACAAAAAACTAGATGCCACTAACACACAACAGACACATCGTAGTTAATGTCACATTTAAAGTCTTAGGGAAACGGCTGTTCCAACCGTTGCATTTCCAGTAGAAGCTTGGTTTGGTGTAGAAGGCTTACAGCCGTACATGTTTGAGCCCTTGCCTCGCAACGCTGCCAGTTCTGTTAGCTCTACGCCTGCTGAAGACACAGACGTCCATCCCTGTGAACACTGGGATGGAACTCAATGGGAAAGGAAATTGTTATTTCAGCGGTTGTGTATATTAGCTGCGACATATGAATAGAGATGCTATGACGCTGATGTATAACTAATTGGCCTGCATAAAATAACAAAAAAAACCCCGCAGATTTTAAGACAGTATCATCTAAAAGAGTACATTTATATACATGTTTAAGCCAGAATGATTTGAAATTTAAATATGATTTCCCTACGACTTTAATGGTCTGCTGTATGGAAGTAATAAAGGCTAAAAGTCTTTCTTGTTTCTCTTTGAGGATGTTTAAAATGGAATGAATATAGGTAAGCATACATTCTGAGACACAAAGGAGGCTGAATGTTAATGGTTAACTTTTTATCTTTCACACTATTTGTTCCTGCTAGCATGCTCAGACTGTAGACGTCCTCCAGAGCTATTAAACCATAGAGTTTATTCTTTGTTACTTTACAGGCAGTTAGTACCACACTGAATCTCTTTTACTCCAGTAATTTATGCCCATATCGTGTTTCGCAAAAACATGAAAAAGCATTGATAGATGTTTGTTTCTCAACTCATATCTTTACACAGAATGCCGGAAGATTTCTTGAGAATTGCAGGAAATCACGGGTTATCTTTTCTGTTTATCAAACGCACATGCGCCGTCAACGGTGAATACGAGGCCACTGAAAAGCCACACCTGCTCTTGTGGCCGGGGTAAGCCGGCCAGAGAATCCTATCCGCCTTTGTTTCAGAAACATGCACACGCAGATGACTGCACACACACTCACACACAGACACACTGTAGGGCTGGCACAAATGGTTACCTGTTCCCGAATGCAGACAAAGAAAGTCTTTATGTGTGTACCTGTGCCAGGCTGCCCTGAACACAGGACACCTGAGAGGGTGTGGGAACTGCTCATTCTCATCCACTCATATAGTGCAGCCACTGAGCCATATAAATACATCCAGTCCATGCCCGCATAGTGACACAATCTTAATGGTGTCTACAACTGATAGCCCACTGCTTATAATGTAATCCTACTCTATTTGGAGAATTACCTAAACTTTACTTAACAGCAGCTGTACTGCCTGTCATGAGGTCAAATCTGAGTTTTCAACATTATCTAGAGCAAAATGTTTACATATAACAAACCTATAATGACAAAGTCACAGTGTGAAGGAATGAATGTTCCCTTAATCCTGCAATAA